ATATTGACAAGCTGGAACATGTGCAGAGGAGGGTGACCAAGATGATCAAGGAAACCCAACCTTATAAGGAACGGTCGAGGGAGCTCGGTATGTTTAGCCTGAGAGGAGATATGACAGACGTCTTCAAATATCTCAAGGCCTGTCATATGGAAGATGGAGCAAGCTTGTTTTCTCCTGCTCTGGAGGGGTAGAAGTTGAACCCATGGCTTCAAGTTACAAGGAAGGAGTTTCTGACTAAACACCAGGAAGAGCAACAGTTCTATGATTCTAAATGAGATCGCTGGGATTCAACTTTGGTGCAGACATAGGATAAGGAAATTAAAAGTGCCCTGCTAGATTGACAGAAAAGGTTTATCTACTCCATCCTGCCATCTCCCACAGTGGCTGAACTCAGGGCAGATGCCCACAAGGCACCCACAAGCAGGGCATGCAGGCAATATCTTTCTCTGGTTGTCTTCCCAGTGACTGGTAGCCAAGAGGCATGCCGCTTCTCATCCCCGAGGCAGCCTGGAGCCATGATTGTCTAATCCCCCTTTAAAGCCATCTAAAATGTTGGCCACCACCATCAGATCTTGAGGAAGCAGATCCCAGTTTATGCTGTGTGGAGTCCTTTTGTCCATTCTGGATCTTCTAACATTTAGCTTCATTGGAGGACCAGTTTCTCGGCCTGTATTAGGAGAAAATCTCTTCGTCTATGACATGCATAGTTTTAAACATTTCTATCATTTTGCCCCACGTTACTTGTCACTCCCCGCCCAGTGAGAAATATCTCCAAATATTGCAGGCTTTCCTCATAAAGAGTTTACATAACCTAGGTTGTTGTTTTCTGCATCTTTTCAGCGACACCATATCCCTTGAGATACGGTGACCAGAACTCTACACTCTGTAACCAGGAGTGGTTGCATCATAGGTTTGTCTAAAGGCATTAGTATATTGGCAGTTTTATTTTCAATCCCATTCCTATTGATTCCTATGGAATTTGCCTTTTGAGGTGTTGCTGCATACTGGGTCCACATTCACCATGACTTCAAGCTTCCGATGATGATGATGATAATTTTAATTTTATTAATTGTACCCCACCCATATGACTGGGTTGCTCCAGCCACTCTGGGCACTAGTGTATGTGTGGATTCTCTGCCCTAATACCTTACGATTTCTTTCACTGAAATGCATTTGCCATTATATTGTCTGTCCACCCTGCATCAAAGGATCCTTTCGCAGCACTTTAACACCCCCTTTCTGTTTTTACCACCCCAAACAATTTTATGTCACCTGTAAACTTGGCCACCGCACTGGATCATTTGTGGACAAGTTGAAAGGCACAGTCCACAACGCAGAAGAAGACCCTCCATTGGTATAACTGTCCCTGCTCTCTACTCTTCAACCAGTTACAGAGCAATAAAAAAAGGTCTGTCTTCTCCCATAACTGCAAAGTTTGCTCAGGAAACCCTTTGGCAATTGCAAAATGTCTTCCACATCCTCCCATCTACAGTGGGGGGGGGGGAAGTATTTGATCTGCTGCTAAATTTGCCCGTTTGCCCTCTGATGAAGAAATGACCAGTCCATAATTTTAATGGTAGGTTTATTGTAGCTGTGAAAGACAGAATAACAACAGGAAACCCTCAGAAACTCCAAAGTCAGAGATTGATGTGCATTATAATGAGTGAAATAAGTATTTGATCCCTTTGCAAACGATGACTTGGTATTTGGTGGCAAAACCCTTGTTGGCAATTACAGACGTTTCTTGTAGGTGGCCACCAAGTTTGCACACATCTCAGGAGGTATTTTGTCCCACTCCTCTTTGCAGATCCTTTCTAAGTCGGTAGGTTTTCGAGGCTGATGTGTAGCTACTTGAACCTTCAGCTCCCTCCACAGATTTCCGATGGGATTAAGGTCTGGAGACTGGCTAGGCCACTCCAGGACCTTAATGTACTTCTTCTTGAGCCACTCCTTTGTTGCCTTGGCCGTATGTTTTGGGTCATTGCCATGCTGGAATACCCATTCTCAACCCATTTTCAATGCCCTGGCTGAGGGAAGGAGGTGCTCACCCAAGATTTGACGATACATGGTTCCTTCCATCGTCCCTTTGACACGGTGAAGGTATCCTGTCCCCTTAGCAGAAAAACGCCCCCAAAGCATAATATGTCCCCCTCCATGTTTGACGATGGGGATGGTGTTCTTGGGGTTGTAGGCAGCATTCCTCCTCCTCCAAACACGGCAAGTTGAGTTGATGCAAAAGAGCTCGATTTTGGTCTCATCTGACCACAACACTTTCACCCAGTTCTCCTCTGGGTCATTCAGATGTGCATTGGCAAACCGCAGACGGGCCTGTACATGTGCTGTCTTGAGCAAGGAGACCTTGCGAGCTCTGCAAGATATCAGTCCTTCACAGCGTAGTGTGTTAACAACTGTTTTCATGGTGACTATGGTCCCAGCTGCCCTGAGATCATTGACAAGTTCCCCCCGTGTAGTTCTGGGCTGCTTCATCACCGTTCTCCTGATCATTGCAACTCCACCAGATGAGGTCTTGCATGGAGCCCCAGACCGAGGGAGGTTGACAGTTCTTTTGTGTTTCTTCCATTTGTAAATTATTGCATCAACTGTTGTCACCTTCTCACCAAGCTGCTTGGCAATAGTCTTGTAGCCCAGTCCAGCCTTGTGCAGGTCTACAATCTTGTCCCTGACACCCTTGGACAGCTCTTTGGTCTTGGTCATGGTGGCTACTTTGGAATCTGCTGGTTTGCTTCTGTCGACAGGTAACAAGCTGGGATTACAGGTAAGGCCTCTCCCTTACAGCAGGTGCTTCTAATCTCAGCTCCTTACATACAGTGAAGATACCAGGTAGTCTGACATCTAGCTGCTTGATAGGGGATCAAATACTTATTTCCCTCATTATAATGCACATCAATCTCTGACTTTTGTCTTCTGGGTTTCTGGGGCTTTTCTTCTTGTTATTCTGTCTCTCACAGCTACAATAAACCTACCGTTAAAATGATGGACTGGTCATTTCTTCGTCAGAGGGCAAACGGGCAAATTTAGCAGGGGATCAAATACTTTCCCCCCTCGCTGTACCTGCTTGCTGATGCTTTCAAAGAACTCTAAAAGGTTATTGAGGCAAGACTTACCTTTGCAGAAGCCATGCTGATTCTTCTTCAGCAAGGCTCATTATATGTGATCATTTTATCTTCAAATATGCTTTCAACCAATTTACCCAGAACAGGCAGCGAACAAACGTGCCCGATTTCCCAGACCCACCCACTATTATCCATTTTCTAAAAAACTGGCATTGCCTTGGCAACTTTCCAGTTCTCCTGTACAGAGGTCGATCACAGAGACAAGTTACATATTTTTGTTGCAAGGTCAGCAAGTTCGCATTTGAATTCTCAACGATCACTGCTCTGGACACACCTGTTTGGTCAAGATTCCCATGTTCTGAAGTAAACCACCTGGTCTCCTCTTGCTACCCATGCTGGTGTCCTCTTGGCCTTTGGTAGTACCTTACCTGATTTGGAGTACGTAGTCTAGCTGATCTACTATTGTGGCTTTGAATATCCCCCCTACCCTCTCTTGAACTCCCCTTTCACCTTCCTTTTTACCAATCTTGTTATTATTATTTTTGGAAATGTCCTCCTTAGTGGAAGTTGTGTTGGACTTACTTGGCCGTTGTCAGCTTGTGTGTGGGTGTATGTGTGAGTGTGGGTGTCCGGAGGGATTGGGATCATAGACTACAGTGGTACCTTGGGTTACAGATGCTTCAGGTTACAGACTCCGCTAACCCAGAAATAGTACCTCGAGTTAAGAACTTTTCTTCAGGATGAGAACAGAAATCGTGCGGCAGCGGCGGGAGGCCCCATTAGCTAAAGTGGTACCTCAGGTTAAGAACAGTTTCAGGTTAAGAACGGACCTCCAGAACGAATTAAGTTCTTAACCTGAGGTACCACTGTACCATTGTCTCCAACTGACCTGACAATGCCGGGACTGTCACGAAAACCCTGAAGCCACCATGGAATGGTCTCCCTCGGGAGGTTGTGGACTCTCCATCCTTGGTGGTTTTTAAGCAGAGCTTGGATGGCCATCTGTCATGGATGCTTTAGCTGAGATTCCTGCATTGCAGGGGGCTGGACTAGATGACTCTTGGGTTCCCTTCCAACACTACGATTCTACAATCATGGCTTCTCACTTTCTCACGCGGAGTCCTGAATTCCCATCGATGTTGAGGTATGTTAACAGGAAATGATTATACACCTAGGGTGGGGAACTTGTGACCTTCAAGATGTTGCTGAGCTACAACTCGCATCAGTCCCATAAAGTACCACTGTACAGTGTTGAGCTGGATTGGGATCATAGACTACAGTCCAATGCACACATGTATATATTCCATGAACACAGTAGGGCCTGCTTTCAATTGGGTGTGAGTAGGTCACACTGCAATTATCGTGCTTGAGGAGACTCTTGAGAGTCCCATGGACTGCAAGAAGATCAAACCTATCAATTCTTAAGGAAATCAGCCCTGAGTGCTCACTGGAAGGACAGATCCTGAAAACTGAGGCTCCAATACTTTGGCCACCTCATGAGAAGTGCCTGCGGGAGGCAGTGGAAGACAGAAGTGCCTGGTGTGCTCTGGTCCATGGGGTCATGAAGAGTCGGACACGACTAAACGACTAAACAACAACAAGGTCACACTGCAAGAACTGCAAGTCCATCTCCTGCTTTTTGATAAATCAGTTGACCATTTTTTTCACAGGACCAGCATCTCAGTGATTTCTGTGATACTGAAGAAATAACTTACAATTTTTTTGCCAGAAGCTATTCTCCAGACCTAGGCAGGTTTCTTTCAATTGCTTATTACAGTAAGCCAGCAAGTGTCCCCCTAACTCTCAGCTTCACAGATTAGTTGATTAATCTAACAACTGAAGCTTCATAGAATCACAGAACTGTAGAGGTGGAAGGAACCCTGAAGATCATTCAGTCCAAGCCTCTGCAATGCAGGAATATGCAGCTGTCCCACATGGGAACTGAACCTGTGACCATGGCGTCATCAGCACCATGCTCTAACCAACTGAGCCAGCCATCTGTGTGTTCAGCTTGCAGCCCCATAAAGCAGCATTATTCCCTAGTTAATCTTGTATGTTGAATAATAATAATACCCCACCCATCTGCCTGGCTTTCCCCAGCCACTCTAGGTGGCTCCCAACAGAATTAATGATGATAATAATTAAAAAGCGATAAAACATCAAACATTAAAAACTTCCCTAAACAGGACTGCCTTCAGATGTCTTCTAAAAGTCAGAGAGTTGTTTATTTCCTTGACATCTGATGGGAGGGTGTTCCACAGGGCGGGCACCACCACCGAGAAGGCCCTCTGCCTGGTTCCCTGTAGCTTCGCTTCTCACAGTGAGGGAACCGCCAGAAGGCCCTTGGAGCTGGACCTCAGTGTCCGGGCTGAACGATGGGGGTGGAGATGATCCTTCAGGTATACTGGGCCGAGGCCGTTTAGGGCTTTCAAGGTCAGCACCAACACTCTCAATTGTGCCCGGAAACGTACTGGAAGCCAACAGCCTTCATGCACTTCCACTGTAGAACTCACGTTTATATTTTGATCTAAAGACTGCTAAGTGTCTTAAGCAATTCCTAGGAAGGTGTTACTGCACGAGCTCCAAATGTGTGTGTGCCCTTGCCACCCATACACCCCTCCCATTAACTTCAGTATCACAGCTCTGCACATGTCTTCCCTAATGAATGTGCAGAGCTGTCCAACAACACTGAAGGGAATGGGAAGCATCGGCTGGTGCAGGAGCTCTGCAAACTGGTGCAAAAGAGGCTTGGGTTTGGGTGCCGGTTTTTGCGAAAGGCACCTAGGAGATGAATGGAGTGCCTCTGAATATGTTTGGGGGTGGGTGGGTGGGTGTGCATATGCCCTTCCCCTTGCTCAAGAAACTACTAAGGAAGCAGCCTGAGCTGCCATAAAAACCCAGCCCTTGCCCACTCAATTATTTAAAGTACCCAATAAAGAAATTAAATGCAAGCCAAGGAAGCCGCTGTGTAGGGGAGGCAGAAAAGCAGAGTGCAATATAAGAGCCAGAAATAGCCCCTGATGTTCCCGGTATGTTTCTGCTGTTATGAGTCACCTGCACCCTGGTTCTGCGACGGGCTTTGGTGATGCAACAATTGTTTATATAAAAGAAACAACCACCTGTTCCTCAGTGCAGACAGGGAACATTTGCAGGTGCGCACAGACCCCTGATTTTGCCGCCGGTGTAGCAGACGAGATGACCCATCCGATCGCCTCGCTTGCTACAGCCGTTTCAAGCAGCCAGGAGAAGGGTTGTGTTTTTCTGGGCTCTGCTTCTCCTACAGGAAAACACCTTCGGTGCCTCCTTCCAGCCCCACAGGGAAAATGCAACATATTGCCATGACGCAAGTGTTTGTTTCAAAATTAGAGTCTTCATTCAAAATTAGAGTCTGATCTTTGGGCAGGGCTCGTCATGGGAACGGGCTCCAGAGACCGGGGGTTTGCGGGGTGTCTGTGTGTGTGGAACAGGGAGAAAGGAACGAGATAAGGGAGAACTGCCCAAGATCCCTACAAAAACGGAGTTGGCAGAGAACCCCACAAGACAAAACAGTAAGTTCCCGTACAGCAAACGACAGTAGAGTCAATTCGACGTTTGGTATGTGACTGGTTGTGGTCACCTGACCCCGGTCCCACGCTGTGCAGAGGGAAGCAGCCCAATGTTGCTGTGAGGTCAGATGTCCAAAGAGGCTGCTATTCCTACATCGGACATTCGCTCAGGGCCAATGACTCTGCTGAAGAGAAGCAGGGAGAAAGCATCGAGAAGAATACTACAATCTGTCCTGCAAGTTCGATGCTGGGGTGTGTAAGTGTCTCTTTGGGGGAAGAGTGGCTTGCAGGAAGAGCTCTCTGCTGAGGAAGGAGGAAGAATGCTCAGAAAGGAGGTCCTTCCTGGAGCAGATTCCTAGGCAAAAAAAGATCCTGGCCGAGAGTCAAACCAGCAGGGCACTTCCCAAGACATCCGGGAGCAGAGCAACTCTAAGGTTTGACCGAGCGACAGAACTTATGCCGGTGAGAGGGATGAAGGTGCTTTACATCTGCCACAGACCGCAAGTCCCCGGGCTCCAGCTACACCGGTGACCAAACCTCTGACCTAATAAGAGCATAGGACCACTAGGGACAGCCCCCGGAGAGAGCTGGGAGCAACCTGTCCAATCAGAAGCTGCCTCCCAAGCACCCCAGGCTCTCGTCAGGACTGCCACTTCCGTCACACCCAATCCAGCATGGAGAGCTAATCGCTATCCCGCTGCCCAGACCCCATCCCTTCTCAGGGAGGACTGCTTTGTAAAAGCCAGCGGACCTGGGCAGCATTCTCAGACGCACCTTGGCAACTACAAGACTGAAGCACAGAACCAAGTCTGGCATCTACTCCTTGCCCTTCATGCACACTGCCTTCCTAGGAGCAAAGGATGCTTCCACCATCGCACCCTGCAGGCCAAGGCTATTCCTAAACTAGAGGAGGGAGCCCCGGGCCAGTTCTTCTAGCTAGCTAGCGAGCTAGCAGCAAGGATGGCTCCAAAGTGTCGACAAGAGCTGCGGCAGTGCCAATATCCGGATTACAGTCGTTGGTCCCCGCCAGCTGAGTCCACTGGAGAGTCCTGGGCCGACGAGAGGACGTCTGAGATGAAAAAGAGGAAGAAACTGGGAGTGAGAGAGAGTGGCGGCTTCCACTTCTGAGCACAGACATCCTACCAACACCCTCCGAAGCCACACACTCCACCCAGAGGCAAGCAAAATCCCGCAGAAGGGGAACTCTAACCATATATGTTTCCCAGATTAAAGAGTGCGCAGAGCGTGTTTGTGGCTTTTGGGGACTTTTCCCCGAGGAGGGAGAAGGGACTGATGGGGAATAGCCGTGCGAAGCCTCCGCAGGACAGCGGGATGAAGGCTCCCCGCTGCCCTGTGGAGGCTTTGTGTGGCTAAGCCAGAAGCTAGAACAGCGAGAGGGAGCACTGCGCAGTGCTCCCTCTCGCTGTTCTGGCTTCTGGGATAGCTGCACATCCTGCATTCACTCCATAAGATGCACACACATATCCCCTTACTTTTTAGGAGGGAAAAAGTGCATCTTATAGAGTGAAAAATACGGTAATTATAATTGCTAATGGAAGAAAGGCAGCATGCTCCAATTATTATTGTTTTTACAGGGCCGAGGGGAAGGCTGCCTGCCTACCAAAACTCACCGCCTCTCCCCTCCCACGTTAACCTCATTATCTCGTGGCAGCCCCTACCAACTGCTTCTTCGACGATGGTGCTGGGGGCGCTTTCGGACTGGGAACCCGGCTGCCCCCATTGCTGCGAACGAAACATCACCATCTCCTCCAAGTTGCGCAGAACCGTCACGGTGCCCTTGGCGGGTGCGGGCAAGATCCGAGCCTGCTCCAGAGCTCTGCAAGGGAAGATTTCCAGGGAACTTACTCCCGAGTAAGCATATGTGGGGATGCACACAAAAAAGGAGGGTGTGCTATGCAAAATAAGCACCTTGCGTAAGATACATACGGACTGCAGAATTCATCCCTGGCTTGGGCGGGGGGGGGGGGGGGGAGGAAAGAGGCACTCTCATTTCCATAGTACAACACAAGGCATTTCCTGTTGCCCAGATCCGCTGTAGAGAACAATCAGGCAACGGGACGACGAAATAAAACAATTTAGAACCAAGGAGGTTTGGAATGTGGGTTTTGTCAGCTTGGAAAGTCTTCTAAGCAGGCCTGGTTTGTAATGGGGTTTGTCACTTGCCAGCAGGGTAGATTTGATTAAAATCAAATTGATTTAAATCACGATTTAAATCACTAGTCAGTAAGACTTGATTCAAATCATTTTTTTTGTAGAAAGATTCATTCTTGCTGGTATAACCTTTATATTTACAACCAGATGAAGGTTTCCTTTTTGAAATAATAAATTTTCAGAGTAGTTTTTACAGTTATATCAAAAATTACTGATTTGGTTATACTATTAGAAATACATAGACAGATATTTATGTAATTATTGTAAGGTTGTAATAAGTTAATTGTTTATATTTGGACAACTTTTCTGCTGGACTTTATTGGAAGGAGAAAAATAATCATTTCCTTAATAAGAATTTAAACAATTTATTTAACTAACACAACAACATTATAGCATATGTATCCATGCTTGTTAACTGATGTGCTTAAACAATTTGTTTTTTAGACTGAGTTTTAGCACGCATGAAAAACTTAAAACAAATCCTTAAATCCTAAACTATAATGCAACTTAAACAGAAAACTACATTTAGAATGATTTTTCCTCCAAAAAGTAATAATAATAAAAATCCAATTTAAATTTTAAAAAATCCTATTTTTTATTTTTTAAAAAATAATTGATTTTTATCCACCCTACTTGCCAGCCCTTCCCTCTCAGTCCCCTAACCCCTTTCCCAAGCGAAAAACCTTACCCTTGAAAAAATAGATACCTAGCAGCAAAGAGGGCATGAGGCATTTTGCAGGCCTTGAGTGAACCTAAGTCAAACCAACAGTCCTTTTAGCTCAGTTCTGGTGACAAGGACAAGCAGTGGCTCTCCAGGGAACAATTCCAGCCCAACCGGGAGATGCTGGGGACTGAAGATGTGATCTTCAGCACGCTTTCTTGTCTCTGCTGAGCCCTCGCTGCCCACCTTTCTCAGTAAGATTCTTTGCTTGGGAAGGAGTGAGGGAAACTGGCAGAGAAAAGGGAGGGTGCCTTGCCAACTTTCTCAGCCAAGGCTCAAAAGGATCCACGTTTCCCCGCTACTGAGCACTGCCCGGGAATGCTTGGGCAAAGCAAACAGTTTTTTGAGTCGGGCTAGAGTGTGTCTGTCCATCACTTCTTACCTTCCTATGAGTGCTTACCTTTCTGATGAGGCTATGCCTGTGTGGCTCATGGAACGCCTTACCTGGAAAAATAAAAGTGGGGGGTGGGATTCCATGGCAATGAGAACGCAAGCACAATGTAACAACGTCCCGATATTCCAGAGTTGCACATTTGTTTGTGAACCGAATCTGTATATTGCCCAGTAACCAATGCCCTCTGGGAAGCGAGTGATTTAAAAACATCAAAATTGAAAAACAGGCCACATGCAAAAATCAGACGGGCTATAAGACGATATAAAACCAAATAAAGCACAAATAGCAAGCTGTACATTAGAAATCTTAAGATAATGCAGGAATAATTAGAGCCTCTCTGCTGCGTTCACCCTCGCAAATGTGGATTAGGGTCACCACTCCAGACACAGCAAATTGAAAAATCATCAAATTACTCATCATCCTTCAGCCTCACCTTAACCAACCTGCTCCCGTTTACAAATGGAACACCTATTTTGCTTAAGCAAAATATTTTTTAAAATTGATTGACCCAAATTAAGGCTGCACTCCTAAACCCACTTACTTGAATTCAATATGACAGACTTCTGCATAGAACTGTTTAGGATTATGCTGCAAATCAACTCAAGTACTGCAGCTCTAGTTGAAGGCAAGTCAACTTACAACAACAACAACAGTTTAAACCCTGCCCATCTGGCTGGGTTTCCCCAGCTACTCTGGGCAGCTCCCAATAGAATATTAAAAACATGATAAATACATCAAACATTAAAAACTTCCCTAAACAGGGCTGCCTTCAGATGTTTTCCAAAAGTCAGGTAGTTGCTTATTTCCTTGACATCTTATGGGAGGGCGTTCCACAGGGCGGGCGGGCGCCACTGCTGAGAAGGCCCTCTGCCTGGTTCCCTGTAACCTCACTTCTCACAGTGAGGGAACCGCCAGAACCCACATTAGGTTTTTGAGATATCAAAGTGTCCCATTGTATAGGACAGGAGTCTTCATTTCTCACCACAAATAAGCTCTCTCCAGACTATCCTCTGATGACATACAAAAACACACCATCACTTCTCATACCAGGGTTTCTTCAAAACCTTAACATCGTGAAAAATGGGGGTTCTCAAACTAGCTCTTCAATTAATACCCTCCCTTGTAAGTCCAAGGGACTCAAGAGACTAAATTAACAAAGGTAAAGAACAGGGCACCACAGCAGGTAAAAGGCAAAAGGTAAAGGACTCCTGGACGGTTAAGTCCAGTCAAAGGCGACTATGGGGTGCGGCGTTCATCTCACTTTCAGGCTGAGGGAGCCGGCGTTTGTCCACAGACAGCTTTCTGGGACATGTGGCCAGCATGACTAAACTTCTTCTGGCAAAACAGAACATCGTGACAGAAGCCAGAGCGCACGGAAACGCTGTTTACCTTCCTGTTGCAGTGGTACCTATTTATCTACTTGCACCAGCATGCTTTCGAACTGCTAGGTTGGCAGGAGCTGGGACTGAGCAACGGGAGCTCACCCCGTTGCAGGGATTCGAACCGCCGACCTTCTGATCAGCAAGCCCAAGAGGCTCAGTGGTTTAGACCACAGCGCCACCCGCTCCCACCGCAGCACCATACTTGTGAAATTCCCTTTTCAAGGAATGTTTTATATGTATGTTGCATTTCAGACTTTAATTTGTTAGCACTTCCTATCTGGGTGGAAAGGCAGAATACAATGATTGGACTCACCCGGTGAGAATGTGGGAGTTTGGTACCCACAAAGTCAAAAGGTTGGGGGACCGTCAAAGGATGGTACAGCTCAGGAGCCAATCGGGTGTTTGCAAATTTCATGCACTCTTCTAGCGTGGAGATGAACTGGCTGCAGGTTGCTCGCAACAAGGATGACGCTTCGTTCATCTTCTGGAGGAAGCCAAGAGCAGGAAGAGGAGTGAGTAGGAAGTCTGACCCGCCTGGCCTTCAGGGCCTCAGCGACTCAGTGCAAGTCCCAAGAGACTTCAGCCCAGGGCCAGTTCAAAGATTCTGCTGCTAAGGTAACCTAGCTCTGCGCCACCTTAGTGCCCATACTGGGGGCAGGGGGAGCTTTCAAATAAATGGTTCTGTAAGTGAAAACTAAGACTGCGCAGCCAAGTGGGAGGGCTGCACCACAAGCACCGTAATGAACAAATGGGATGCTCCCTAGGCGCACTGAGCTCAGTACAGACAAAACTCCTTCTCTCGAGGTAGCAGGTACCACTCCTTTGGCACTGGCTCTCCAAGGTTACAACTTTGAACACCGCTGTGGATGGCGTCAACCAGGAGTGGTGCCCTGTCGGTTTTCCACGCCAAGAAAACAAAAACGTCTTGGACCAACCCTGCCCTTGCTCCATCTAACCACGTCCACAGCAGTAACAGCTGCCTCTCATAACCCCAAAGCATCTCTGAATATAACCGTGGTGCCTTATGGACTACAACAATCCTTGGCTGTTTTCTCTCGGATCTCCTATAGCAGGAATGGAGAACCATCAGCACTCCACAACCACTGGTCGTGGCAGCTGGGCTGAGGTTCAGCAGGCCAACGTTCCACATTCCTGCCCGACGGAGGTCAGAGGGAGACCACATTTTGCTCACAAATGACCCAGGGGGGTACGTTCTCTGCTAAGCACCCTGGAACAGAGGAGTGGGGAACCTTTGGCCCACCAATATGTTCCTGGAATACAACAGCCCATCAGCCCAAGCAGGCATGGCCAATGGGCAGGGATGCTGGGAGTTGGAGTTCAGCAACATATTATTATTATTATTATTATTATTATTATTATTATTATTATTACCCCGCCCATCTGGGTACATTGCCCCAGCCACTCTGGGCGGCTTCCAACACACACAATAATAGTAATAAAACATCAAACATTAATTGTAACAATCATTTGTTGTTGTTTAGTGGTTTAGTCGTGTCCGACTCTTCGTGACCCCATGGACCAGAGCACGCCAGGCATTTGTCTTCCATTGCCTCCTGCAGTTTGGTCAAACTCATGCTGGTAGCATCGAGAATACTATCCAGCCATCTCGTCCTCTGTTGTCCCCTTCTCCTCACAATAACTTTAAAATAAACAACTTATACCAAATAAAGCAGTATGCAATAATGCATTAGAATCCAATAGTAAACACTAAAATTAAACATCAGAAGGTAATAATTAAACAGTTTACACTTATCAATTACAATGAAAAATGACTCATCTATAATCGACAAAAATAGCAGCAAACCACAATACCCAAAATACCACAAATCATACAAAACAATGTAAAATGATTAAATTAAGAAACAGAGACACAAAAATTATTATTATTATTATTAGGCCACTGGTCCCATCACCTCCTGGCAAATGGAAGGGGAAGAAATGGAGGCAGTGAGAGATTTTACTTTCTTGGGCTCCATGATCACTGCAGGTCACAAAATTAAAAGATGCCTGCTTCTTGGGAGAAAAGCAATGACAAACCTAGACAGCATCTTAAGAAGCAGAGACATCACCTTGCCGACAAAGGTCCGTATAGTTAAAGCTATGGTTTTCCCAGTAGTGATGTATGGAAGTGAGAGCTGGACCATAAAGAAGGCTGATCGCCGAAGAATTGATGCTTTTGAATTATGGTGCTGGAGGACTCTTGAGAGTCCCATGGACTGCAAGAAGATCAAACCTATCCATTCTCAAGGAAATCAGCCCTGAGTGCTCACTGGAAGGACAGATCGTGAAGCTGAGACTCCAATACTTTGGCCACCTCATGAGAAGAGAAGACTCCCTGGAAAAGACCCTGATGTTGAGAAAGAAGGAGGGCACAAGGAGAAGGCGATGACAGAGGACAAGATGGTTGGATCGTGTTCTCGAAGCTACCAGCATGAGTTTGACCAAACTGTGGGAGGCAGTGGAAGACAGGAGTGCCTGGCGTGCTCTGGTCCATGGGGTCACGAAGAGTCGGAAACGACTAAACAACAACAACAAATCCCTGAACTCTCCTCCCATCTGCTTCCGCTGTTCTCATCTGGTGGGCCAAAGGTTCCTCACACCTGCAGGAACAGGTGCTTGCAGCATGCAATGTTCCCTGATGCCACGGCCCCCAAACTGCATGATCCCTCCAAAGCTGCCCTCACCTGGAGGTCAAGAGGGGAGCCATTGTCTTGAGGATGTGTTGCATCCTGTACGGCGAGGACCTGCTGTGTCAGCACGTCGCAATACAGTCGCAGTTCGGACAGCTTCCTCCCGAGGGACTCGTTGCTTAGGTCCAGATCTGAGGAAGACAAGCAAGCAGAGCAAGAACTGAAAAAGGGATCGTAGAAAAAATGAGCAGCGCGCACAAAGAGTCTTTTCCCTTTTGCTGAGAGCGGAAGAGAGCTGCTGTTTATAACAGCCAGGTGCAGTGAAATTTCTATTTGGAGCAGAAAGCAGTGGTGACAGGTACCAAAAACAAAAAAAAAGGGGGCGTGGGGGGTGGGGACACAGAAAAACATGGCACAGCTTTACTACCAGCTTGGGGTGTGTGTGTGAGATTAACGCACAGCCATAACTAACAGTCTTCAACATCAGCAGTAACATCTAGACCATGGGAGCATTTCAGTCCTGTTCTTGAGTTTGTTCAAAATCTAAAAGAGCTTATCTTATTATTCCTTTTTTTGAATTTGTGCTATGTAGGTTTTTGAAAACCTTTTTGTAAAGGCAATACTGGAGTTTTCACAGCCAAGTCCTCAGCTCCTTATCGCTACTGCTTGGCTTCCTTTAAATAGGGCTGTGTCTTAAACTTGCTATTGAGGTTTTCAAACCTTTTTTGTAGACTCAGGGGAGCGTTTCAGCCCTGTTCTTGAGTTTGTTTAAAATCATTTAAGGTTTATGATTTCTCTATTTCCTTCTGAGGAAACAGAATAGTTCAGTGAAACAAGGTTTGTAGCCGGCATCCTGTTAAGGCTTTGTTCAATTCTAGGTTTTTCTAATATTTCCCTTAAACTTTGATTTTTGTTATTTAGTTTAATTCTATAAGATAATATTTTTAGTTGATTACTTCTCGTTTCAGGGATTTTCACAGTATTTCATTTGTTTTGTATAACTAACCGGTTGAGATTGGCAGTCAAATAACATTTGCTCCCTGCGCCACACTGCCCTCTGGTGGACCATCAAGGATTCCAAGGGGAAAGTGATATACAGTGGTATCTCGGATTAAGTACTTAATTTGTTCCGGAGCTCCGTTCTTAACCTGAAACTGTTCTTAACCTGAAGCACCACTTTAGCTAATGGGGCCTCCTGCTGCCACCACTGCACGATTTCTGTTCTCATTCTGAAGCAAAGTTCTTAACCTGAGGTACTATTTCTGGGTTAGTGGAGTCTGTAACCTGAAGCGTATGTAACCCGAGGTACCACTGTACTGCAAATGTCATCTCTTCTGCAAGTAGAGAACACAACCAGTTTTGTACCGCGCTGGGTGGTTTGTTTCTATGGCTTGAAAACTCACTGCTTCCCAAAGGTTCAGGGAGAGTAACAAAAGGAAAAATATATTCAAAATCAGTAAAATAAAAGAAAGACTTCATCTTGAGTGGTTCCCAAACTTTCTGCCTCCCTCCCCCACTGCCCGGGGAGTCATTTCAAAGATGCTGAACATCTTGACGACCACCTAATGGCTTTTCTGCCTGCTGTAGCGGCTCTAATGGGCTTTGTTTGTATTTATACTGCTTCTTTTACTTCTTATATTGCACCTGGTAGCATCACAAGCTGCATTCCATAGAATTCAAATTGTAACACAATAGAAGAAATAAAATAAGCACTAAAATACAATTAGAAATCAATATGAATGCCGGCACGCCACGGACAACCCGAATGAGGCTTGCAGACTATTGGTGGTCCATGCACCAATGGTTGGGAACCTCTGATCTCAATGTTTTTAAAACATCCCCCTCTAGGGCGTGCCGAATTTTTCACCTTTCAAATTCCAAACATGAGGGGGTGCTAAAAAGTTGTAACGCAACTTGGGAATTCCAAAGCTATCTGGGTTAAAGTAATATAGCTCAGTCTTGCTTGGTAAGTAAAACGTGGGCAAAATTGCATTGCTGTATCCGTCTGTCTCGACAGACAACGGGAGAGGGCATCATCAGCTGTATAATCAAACTGTTGGAGAGTTGCAGCACCTCTTTGGCAGTTCCATGTTAGCTTGACATCCAGTCCGATTTTAATAATAATAATAAGAAGAAGAAGAAGAAGAAATTTTTATTTATATCCCGCCCTCCCCAGCCGAAGCCGGGCTCAGGGCGGCTAACAACAATAAAATAAGACAACATTTTAAAATCATTTCATTAAAAACATTACTTCAAATCAAATTGATGGCAACCATTGGGTAGAGTTCTGTGAAGATTGCCAAAGGAGGGAGTCAGGCTGTGCCCTGGCCAAAGGCTTGGCGGAACAGCTCTGTCTTGCAGGCTCTGCGGAAAGATGTCAAGTCCCGCAGAGCCCTAATCTCTCGTGGCAGAGCGTTCCACCAGATCGGAGCCACAGCCGACAAAGCCCTGGCTCTGGTTGAGGCCAGCCTAACATCTCTGTGGCCTAGGACCTCCAAGATGTTTTTGTTGGCGATCGTAAGTTCCTCTGTGGGACATACCAGGAGAGGCGGTCCTGTAGGTATGAGGGTCCTAGGCCGTATAAGGCTTTAAAGGTTAAAACCAGCACCTTAAACCTGATCCTATACTCCACCAGGAGCCAGTGTAGCTGGTATAGCACCAGATGAATGTGATCTCGCAGCGAGGACCCCATAAGGAGTCTCGCCGTGGCATTCTGCACCCGCTGGAGTTTCTGGGTCAGTCTCAAGGGCAGCCCCACGTAGAGCGAGCTACAATAATCCAGTCTGGAGGGGACCGTCGCGTGGATCACAGTGGCTAGGTCAGGGTGAGAGAGGTAAGGAGCCAACTGCTTAGCTTGGAAGAGATGAAAAAATGCCGCCTTTGTTATAGCTGCAATCTGCGCCTCCATGGAAAGGGAGGCGTCAAAGATTACACCCAAACTCTTAACGGTTGGCGCTGGCACTAATTGCGCCCCCACAAGAGATGGGAGTTGCCCCCCCAATCCCATATCGTCCCGACCCAGCCAAAGGACCTCTGTCTTCGAAGGATTTAACTTCAACCGGCTCCCACGTAACCATCCAGCCACAGCTGGATTTTCCCATTCTTTCCAGGGATAGACCAGGTGTTCAAGGAGAAACCGTTGAAATCAACCTGGCAGAATCTAGTTAACTGGTTACTTTCTCTTCCCCAACAAGGCATGCGCAAGACCCACAGGCTTAGACTGAGAGCCCTGAAGTGGACCAAGCAGGATCAAGGATGTTTGCTAAGGAGGTGTGAGACTTAAACACCTCACTCTTATCAGGGTTTAACCGGAAGTTCCCACCTTACATTCCCCCAGCTCTGCCAACACCATCCTCGGATCTCAGCCCCACAATCCCACTCTGGGCTTTTCAAACTCTCGTCAGGACAAAGCTATTTGCAAAGAACCAACCTCTCTCTTTCTGGCTCCTGCTGTCCCCCAGGCAGGCCTTGGAGCTGCCCAAAGCCACGAGCCATTTCTGTCTCTCAGCGGCGCCTCCTGCCTTCAGGTAGAAGTACTGCTCTCCAGGGATGACCAGCTCCATGCGAGTGGGGTCAGTAGTGTGGACTATGGAAGCAGTTAGGGAAAAGAGAGCAGAGAGGATGTTGAGATGCCAGTGGCTTCATACGCAAGAGGCAGGGCAGCATCCAAAATAGTCCTTCCAGTAGTGTCCCCTCCCTCTCCCCTTCCCATATGCCCCCCCCAATATTCTCTAGAGCAGGCTTCCTCAACCTCGGCCCTCCAGATGTTTTTGGCCTACAACTCCCATCATCCCTAGCTAGTAGGACCAGTGGTCAGGCATGATGGGAATTGTAGTCTCAAAAATATCTGGAGGGCCAAGGTTGAGGAAGGCTGCTCTAGATGATTGGGAAACCTCAGAAAACAGATTTAAGGAGGTATGTGGGGGGAGAGGAAGGTGACAGAAGCGTAGCTAGGGGGGCAATGGGCACCACACCGGGGGGGGCACTTACCGTGGGGTCTGCAGCGTGCCCAATCCACAGCAGTGTGAGGCTTGTATTATAACCCACCACCTCCCCTTCAGCCGCCCTGCTTACCCTGCCCCCAGGCGCACAGCATACGTGCCACCCCAGACAACCGAGTGGCTAGCTATGCCATTGGAAGGCGAAGTTCTGTACACGCCCAAAATTCCTTGTCCTAGTGGAATTATTTCATGGGATACCTCCCTCTGGACATACACAATCACACTTTTGCATTCTACATTAAATAACATTAGCTGCCCAGTTCCCCCGCTCGTCCAAGATGATGCAGTTAAAGGGGAGAAGTTCCTCTTCTAGCCACTCTGAGATAATTTGGGAGCTAAATGAGGCCACATGAAATTGCCTTGAGCTTGTGCCTTGGAGGTCAGCTATACAGCCAGGGGTCTGGCGCCAATATTTCAGATCATTCAAAAGACTCGGGTCAAGAGCTCTTGAACCACTGATTTCTGTGCTGGATGTGGAGGGAGGAAATTCTACTCCTCCACGACCAGCATGAAAATGCAGCAGGTTAGCAGAAGGGGGTGGGGGTGAGCCTTCCCTCCTCCAGCAGTCTGATTATAAGATGGCAAGTTTTGTTATTAGCAGTCTGTGTTTCCATACAGTCTATGAAGGAGGGGGCCTTCTTCTCTGAAGCCAGCAGGAAAATGAAGGCTACTAATTGATGGACGGGAGGGTTTTTTTTAAAAGGTGAAATGTTGACGGCACAATTGTAGACAATTCCAAGAAGAAAGAAAAGTGGGAGGCGTCTAAAGAAACCAGTGTGGCTTGGGAAGAATTATGGAGAAAGAACTGGAAATTTACAGCCTGTGAAGTATTGAGGGGAAATCTAATCAAGATGTTTTATAGATGGTACTTAACACCTACCAAAATAGCTAAAATGTACAAGACAAAAACAAATCTGTGCTGGAGGTGTGGTAAAACAGAGGGGGCGCTTATACATGTTTGGTGGACCTGTGGAAAAAATCAAAAGCTTCTGGAACATAGTATATGACGAGCTTAAAAGAATGTTTAAGTATAACTTTATAAAAAATACAGAAGCTTTTCTACTAGGGATAACAGACGCAGGTATAGCAAGAGAAGATCAGAAAATATTCCTCTAAGCTACAGGAGCAGCAAGGATCCTAATTGCTAAAAAGTGGAAAAAAGAAATTGTGCCAACAAAAATGGAATGGCAAGACAAACTGTTAGAGTATATTGAACTGGCTAGATTAACAGATGCAATTAGAGATCATACTAGACAAGAATTTCAAAAAGCATGGGGGAAATGCAGAGAATACTTCACAGAATAGTGCCCTAAAATTCACATCTGGACTTGTTTCGATTAATGTCTGCAGGAGACTTTGTGGATATTTAAGTTATAATTAGAAAAATCTTAATAATTATTCATAAAGGAAACAGCTTATAAGAAGTAAATAAGGATGCCAGAAACAGGATAAAGGAAGTCTTTTATTTGGTTGTTTGTATTGTTGTATATTATGCTTGTTGTTTGTTATGTTTGTGTCTGATGGGGGTGGATTTCTGTGTTTGGGGGGGGGCTATGTTGTAAATAAAATTTCAAATAAAAACTTATTTAAAAGAAAGAAACCAGTGTGGCTGCGTAAGGAGCTGAGATTTAAGAAGGGCATGTACAAGAAATGGAAGAAAGGGGAAATCACAAAGGAAGAGTATACATGAGTAGCCAACAGTTGCAGGGATAAGGTCAGGCAGGCCAAAGCTCAGAACGAGCTCAGGCTTGCAAGAGAGGCTAATAATAATAGGTTTCTTTGGCTATGTTCGAAGCAAGAGGAAGAACAAGCAAGTAGTTGGTCCTCTGCATGGAGAAGCCAGAGAAACTCTATTGGGCGATAGAGAGAAGGTGCAACTACTCTGCCTCTGTTTTCATCCAAAAGGAAGGCGATGCCCAACCTGGTGATAACAGAATAAATGATGCAAAGAGACAGCTGCAGCCCAAGGTAGGAAAAGAGGTGGTAAAGGAACACCTCACGACTTTAAATGAATTCAAATCCCCAGGGTCTGGTGAGCTGCATTCAAGGGCACTAAAGGAGCTTGCAGATGCAATCTCAGAGCCTCTATCTATAATCTTTGAGAATTCTTGGAGAACAGGTGAGGTCCTTGCAGACTGCAGGCAGGCAAATGGTATCCCTATCTTCAAAAGGGGGGGGGGAAGACCCAGGTAAGTACTGGCAGGTCAACTTCAGGTCAATACCTGGAAAAGTCCTAGAACAGATAATTGAACAGTCTGTGGCCATCGGTCATGGATGATTTAGCTGAGAGTCCTGCACTGCAGGGAATTGCCCCCTTCTAACTCTGCAATTCTATGATTCTAATATTTTGGAGGCAGGTTAATAACATTTGTGGGCTTATTTATAAGGTGACATTTAAACAGCTTCCCCTCCCCACTTGCCCACAAAATAGCACAAAATGCCCCAACCTTTGATCTCACACACAGCCATCTTGATGCTGCCTTTGCTGCCCTTTCCCACGTCATCCTGTGAATCATAATAGGAGAGGATGCCATTCTCTAGTACAAAGTATCGTGGCTGCCAACCTGTGGTGGGAGGAGAGGGGGAAAAGAGAGATGTGGAAATGAGGATCCTTTTTCCATGGCAAGTCAAGCTCTCTCACCAGCAGTTTCCAAGGAGAATCAAAATTTAATTAAATTACCCACATGTAAACAGGAACATGATTGAACGATTCCTTTTGCATACATGTATATTGCAGCACTCATTCCTAAGTGAGGTGGAGACAATCTAAGTGGGAGATCTTCCAAAGTACTACTGGTAAGAAAAGGAAGTTCTTTAAAACAAAAAACAAACCTGCCTTTCCCACACCCTTAAAACACCATCTCCAGGTTGGCTGGGGAGAGAGATCCTAGAGTTCTCTGAAGATCAAAGTGGAACACCCTGTTTGGGGCTTAAAACAGTACACCACTGGCATTAGAGCTAAGCCTGCAGGACTTTCCAGAGGTGTAGCAGGGACCTGTGAAGCTGGCATGCCCCTTGGCAGGTGAAGCTTTCCTCCGCTAACAGATATACAACTCCAGCTGTTCCTAATGCCCTCCAGCTAGCAGAATCCGAGGGTTAGGAAGCAAGGTGTACAGAGCCATCCTACATTTTCATCTTTGAACAACAGCTCAGTGGTCATCAAAAGCTATAATAATAATAATAATTTATTATTTATACCCCGCCCATCAGGCTGAGTATCCCCAGCCACTCTCAGGCAAACATAAAAAGGTAAAGGGACCTCTGACTATTAGGTCCAGTCGTGACCGACTCTGGGGTTGCAGCGCTCATCTCGCTTTATTGGCCGAGGGAGCTGGCATACAGCTTCCAGGTCATGAGGCCAGCATGGCTAAGCCGCTTCTGGCGAATCAGAGCAGCACATGGAAACGCCGCTTACCTTCCCACCAGAGTGGTACCTATTTATCTTCTTGCACTTTGACATGCTTTCGAACCGCTAGGTTGGCAGGAGCAGGGACTGAGCGACGGAAGCTCACCCCGTTGCGGGGATTCGAACCGCCAACCTTCGGATCGGCAAGTCTTAGGCTCTGTGGTTTAACCCACAGCGCTGCCCGCGTCCCCATGCAGACATACTTCAATACAATTTTTTTAATACAGTGGTACCTCGGGTTACAAACTTAATTCGTTCCTGAAGTCCATTCTTAACCCAAAGCATTCTTAACCCAAGGCGCCCATTCCCTACATCGGCCTCCCGCGGCCCCGGAAGCAGATTGCGTTCATATCCCGGGGCAAAGTTCGCAACCTGGAGCACCTACTTCTGGGTTTGCGGAGTTCGTAACCCAAAGCGTGTGTAAGTAGGCAAGTGCATAACCCGAGGTACCACTGTAAGGGTTTTTTGAAACAAAATACAGTAAAGCTAAGGGTTAGGGGATGCAAAGACCATGGGAGGGAGCATGTGATCCTCCTGATGCTTTTTTCTTTTTACTCCCGCACCCATCAGACCCAGCCTGCAGAGTCAATGGTCAAGGATAATGGGAGATGTAGTCCAGCCACATCTGGAGGGCTACATGTCCCCCACTCCTGACACAGGTATATGTGCTTTAACCATAAATACACAAAACATCACCATGGGGGTGTAACACTGACTATAAATAGTCTTTATTTAAACCAGTATTTGTTTATTTTCTTGGAGATTGCAGCCCACTCTTGTCATTGGGCCGGGCCAGGGCAGCACTTGGGAGGCTGCTCTGACAAATCCTGTAGCATTTGCTAGAGAAGATCTCCTGTGCATTTATCAAATGCCATGACAGGAAGATGCTCCACAAGCAAAGTCCCCCCTGCAGCATGTGGCCACCCCACGTCTTGCTTTGCTTCTGTATTCGTGGGCACACCTCCTACGGGAAGTGCTCAAACAACTGCAATGAGAAACGCAGAAAAACCACAGAAAACAAGACTCCTAGTTGACATGGACGACTCATCCTGCTCAGCAGCACCAGGAAAGTGACTCACTACAATGGAGAGGTGGTCGAGCACGGCCCTAACCCTTTAAAAAAACCCACACAGAGACAAATGAAACCACCAAACGTAAGTCAGTGGGTGACACTTATTCCTTCCCCTCATCTCCACTGCTGGAAAATCACCTGCACCCGTTGAATTTTTCCCAGTTACGCAACTGCTACAAGGCGCAGAGAAAGATGGCAGCCCTTAAAACCCTTTGGCTGGGGAAGGAGCGGGTGCAAGTGAGATTCGGTTTCCTGGAAAGGGATGTAAGGATTAAGTCGCACAATGAGAAAGGGAGCATTTTGGGGGGCTGGGGTTACGGGGGGGGTAGGGGTGGGAGGAAGCCCGGACTCCTGGGTTCTATCCCCTGCCCTGTGGGATAGCTGGGTTGCTAAGGAACGCGAAGAAAGGGGTACAAAGGTTGGGGGGGGCAAGCGGATCCATGCGGGGAGCAGGAGGCGACGAAGGCAGAGGCCGCCTCCCCAAATGCAAAGCCCGACCCACTTGAGGACTCTCTCTCTCTCACCCGAAAGATAGTTGGTCCATTTCAGCAGCGCTCCCTCCATCACCAGCCCGGCTCGCTTACTGCCGCCGGTGCGCCGAGCAGAGCCAATTGCGGCGCCGGGCCGGTGGGGCCCGACCAATCGCGGGGCAAGTTGAGGGCGGGGACCAAGAACGGGGAGAAAGGGGACTTTCGGGGACGCGGGAGGGAAGCTAGGTAGGAACCAATCAGGCTGGGAAACGGGTCGGGGGAACAAAAAGTGGACGGACGGGGGAAAAAAAAGGAACGCTCGGAGCCGCCCGCCTGCTCCGCGCAGTGGCTTATGGGCAATGTAGTCCCACTGGTCGCAGAGCCGTTGGACTCCGCGAGCATTTTTACTAAATGGGCAGCCCTGGACACTGTTGTAGAAACTCTGAGTCCCCTAGGTTCATGAACCGTCAAAGAAGAATGGATGGAGGCAGGAGTAAAAATAATAATAATAAAATAATTTATTATTTATACTCCGCCCATCTGCCTGGGTTTCCCCAGCCACTCTGGGCGGCTTCCAACAAAGCACTAAAATACAATAACCTATTAAACATTAAAAGCTTCCCTAAACAGGGCTGCCTTCAGATGTCTTCTAAAAGTTTGGTAGTTATTTTTCCTCTTTGACATCTGCTGGGAGGGCGTTCCACAGGACGGGTGCCACTACCGAGAAGGCCCTCTGCCTGGTTCCCTGTAACTTGGCTTCTCGTAGCGAGGGAGCCGCCAGAAGGCCCTCAGCGCTGGACCTCAGTGTCCAGGCAGAATGATGGAAAAGGAGGAAAGAAGGAGGAAAGCAAGGAAGATATTTATTGTTGAAACAGAGTTTCCCCCGTCTCTCCTTTGCAAAGAGGTTAGGACCCAGAACAAGGGTGTGCAAGTACAGTGGTACCTCGGGTTACATACGCTTCAGGTTACATACGCTTCAGGTCACACACTCCGCTAACCCAGAAATAGTGCTTCAGGTTAAGAACTTTGCTTCAGGATGAGAACAGAAATCGTGCTCCGGCAGCGAAGCAGCAGCAGGAGGCCCCATTAGCTAAAGTGGTGCTTCAGGTTAAGAACAGTTTCAGGTTAAGAACGGACCTCCGGAACGAATTAAGTACTTAACCCGAGGTACCACTGTAGTTTTAAATAAGACTTTAGAAATTGCCCAGCCCCCTAGCCAAAGACCACCCAAAAAGCATCATCCATAGGTCATGGAAAGAGGTGGTCTACAACAGAAATTTGAAGGTGTGGCTTGACTTCTGCCTGACAAGATACCTGATAATGGTCACTGAATGCATTCCCTGTCCAGTCTGGGTTATTCTTTCAAAATGGTAAATACCTCAGTTCTTGAATCCAGGTCAGAGGGTTCATACACAAAATATGTCCTTAAGACAGGATTTGCAAGTGAAAAGAACTACTGGGAAAGGTTTCTCTGAGGTCTTTCCTTCTGCAGAGGAAGTATTTAGAATCATTAGGAGCCAACATGGCTTTTGGGATTGTTCTATAATCCATCAAACACTGCCCACTAGTGTGGACAGGGAAACATCAAGTTTGGAGTCCTAAAACTGAAAGTGCCTCATGTGTGCATAATCTTTCACAGGAAAACTGTGACTCGTGTACACATAAATGCTCCCGTGTGCACACAGCTGTAGTTACACATCCTTAAGCTTTGTGTCAAGCTGCAGACTGCAAATTCTATACAGTATACACTTACGTGGGAATAATTCCATTAAATCCGTTGAATTTACTTTAAAGAGGTTAAGATTCCCCCCCGCCCCCATAAGTGCAGCAAGGACCTGCACCAGCAGTTGGTACTTCCAGGAGGCTGGGGAAGAGACTATAATTGCCCTCCACAATATTTGTGTTTGTGCTGCTGTTGGCCTCCTCTGGAGGGGAGATGTGGGAGCCAGTTGTATGTTCTCTAGCCTGTATGCCAGCTTTATGTCATCTGCCCTTCCCAGCTGAACTGCATTTGAGACAGCTTCTTGGAGTGGAGCAAAACCAGTACCAGTGAAATAAAAAAATTAAGGTCTTATATGTATATATATATAATGTTCATAAATGTACCAAGCAAACACGTACATAAATATATAAACCACATGTCTGAAGCAGCACAGGAAAACAGCCCTGGAACCATTTTGACTCCCAAACTGACCAAATGTTTTCTCTGCAAGGTCAAAGGAAAATGGAAAAGCCTCCCCATTGTCTTTTCATTCACAAAACCTGTCTTAAGGGTATATCTGTGTATGAATAGGGTGAGCCTGTGACCTGGCTCAGGAACTAAGTATTTGTTATTACAAAAGACTGGCCAGGCTCCCCAGGGTATCCAATCAAGTAAGCATTAACAGGTAACCTGCCAGACAGGAGGTAAACAACGCACTCTAGACCACCCTTTCTGTGATGTAGGTATGATATATCTGGGATAGTAGTCTTGAGCTACACCCCTTCTGTGATGTAGGTATGATGTTTCTGGGGGTGGTCTTGGACTCCAAGGTGGGCAATTTAAAATGTCTATATAAGGGCGGACACACTTTGTTCTGGGTCCTCCTCCTTTCCTGCGTGAGAGGGGAGCACCCTGTTGCAACAGTTCAATAAAGATCAGGCTTAAAAGCTGCTTTGCTTCTCAACATTCTCTGGTTTGCCTCTGTTCTTTTCTCTGACGGATGGAGAACCTACAAAGGACTCTATAAGGCCTTTTGTGTCCCCCACAAAGGAATAAGGGAAGATTTACGTTTATTACACCAGAAACTTTATTGTCAGTTAACTTACCAATCAGTCATGAACCCAAGTTACCTTGGATAGCTCAGTCGGCAGAGTGTGAAGCTCTTAATCTCAGGGTTGTGGGTTTGAGCCCCAAATGTGGGGAAAAGATTCCTGCGTTGTAGGGGTTTGGACTAGATGACCCGTGTGGTCTCTTCCAATTCTATTATTCCTTGTTTCCCTGGTGGCTTCATCCATCATTATTGTGTTTAAGCCGAGCGTCGTTTGGCAGGGTGTGGGTACTTGTAGCAGGTGCCTTAACAGTATGCAAGGTTCATGGGCGTAGACCTCAGAAATGACTGAAATGTATTAAAAAACCCCTCAATTAACTGTAGTTTTACCCTCCCCCCCAGAAGAAGCCTGCCTCCCGTAATGTCATATTTCAGGGGGGATTTTTACCCGTGATCTCCCAATGAAGCACAACAACCTTTTAGGTGATCTCCCTAAAAATAGCTCAACAACCTTTTGCCCCCACCCCCTTAACAAAAACCCTGTCTATGCCTATGGCAACCAGGGCCGGATTTAGGTTTGATAAGGCCCTAAGCTACTGAAGGTAATGGCACCCTTTATATGTCCAGCTGTCCTTTGTCAACAAGAAATAGTCACTGTTTTTTGTGTTGAATATATGCTATATGATAATTTATGGACTTAATAGGTATCTAAAGCCATTTGTACATAAAAAATATGTATTTTATCAAAGTAATTGTTGAACTGAAATGCAGTTAAGAAGAAGTATTTTAATAGTGAACTACGATTAAGAAGAAGTATATTAATAGTGAAATAATTATTAAGCTCTAACTTAAAATGATTTTTTATTCATAACAAACTTAATAATGCAAACACATTGGCATTTGGCAATAACAAAAGTTTCTTTAGAAACACAATTTACAAAGAGTCACAATCTAGTCTCTGGAAACTTGCTATAACATAAAATAATAATAGGTGAAAATATATGATGCAAACTACTAATAATTATAAACAGCAGAATGTAGGCACCCTATATACAGAAATGTGCAAACCAGTGATATTTTAGGGAGCAGGATAGCAGGCAGGGCCCATTACTTGCATCACAGAAGCCTACACAACACAGTATTGCTGTATGTAGGTTTTATCTTATTTGTTTTTTATCTTATATTTTGGAAATGTGCATCCAGGTTTTTTTTTCTTTACTTTTTTCGGGGGGGCCCCAAGAGAGTGGGGCCCTAAGCTAGAACTTGTTTAGCTTATACGTAAATCCGGCACTGATAGCAACGTTTACCTGTACTGATGGCAAGCGAAAGAAATATCTATTTGTCTGTCGCTGTATCTGTGACCCTCGGAGACTACTTCTCCCAGCGTGCATCGCGGGACAAGGCCCGGCCTCTGCTCGCTGTGCGGCCGAGCGGCCTTCTGGGAGTCGTAGTCCCCGTACCGAAGCCGCCTCGCGACCTGGGCCCGGCGCCGGACTCCAACTTCCAGGATGCGCCTCGCAGCGCTCGGGAGGAGGCGGCGGCGGCGGCGGGGTGGCGCCAGGGCCGCCGCTTCCTCTCTCCCGGCCATTGTGAACCGGGCTGGCGGGCGGCGGGCGTTGCGGTGGCGGCGGCGGCGGGGCAGGAGGAGGGAATGAGCGAGGAGGAGGCGGAGGAGCCTTGCGGGAGCGCGAGGAGCTGCGGCGGCTTCCCCAGGTGAACGAATCCGCCCGCGCCCCGTTGCTAAGAGACGGGCGGGGAGGGAGGGAGGCAGGAGGAGGGGAAGCCCCGCCCCCTAGAGCGCCGTTGCTAGGATACCCCTCCTGGAAGAAGCAGCGCTCGGGCCTACGCTGCCATGATAACGGGAAGGCCCAAGCGGGGCATCACCTATGGGCTGGGCAATTATGGGAGGAGGGACTCGGACAGAGGATGGGTCCCGACTAAGAGGGATGGGGTTGGGGGCGACAGCGACCCATCCTGCCTCTCCCTAGGAGTGCGCAGTCTAGAGGACAACTCTGTCTTCAGAACAATCCTGCACCTGTCTATCCAGATGCCTGTCGTGGCTGAGTCCCAAGAGGACAGGTATAGGAGTGCAGCCTTGTTGTCTGCCTTTCCCATGACCCAGATAGAGCGGCTCCACTGGTAGAGAGCAAGACCCGTAATCCCAGGGTTGGAGCCCCACGTTGGGCAAAAGATTCCCGCAGTGCGAGGACGTTGGAGTACAGTGGTACCTCAGGTTACATACACTTCAGGTTACAGACTCCGCTAACCCAAAAATAGTGCTTCAGGTTAAGAACTTTGCTTCAGGATGAGAACAGAAGTCGTGCTCTAGCGACGCAGCGGCAGCAGGAGGCCCCATTAGCTAAAGTGGTGCTTCAGGTTAAGAACAGTTTCAGGTTAAGAACGGACCTCCGGAACGAATTAAGTACTTAACCTGAGGTACCACTGTATAGGGGACCCTCACGGTCCCTTCCCACTCCACAATTCTGTGGAAACGATTTCCTGAGACCGCACCAGCTTTCTGCATAGGGACCTTGGTGCCGCTTTGGGGCTTACATAGTAGTGTACAAGTAGGCGTACATAGAAGTGCCTCAGCAGAGAGAAGCGTTAATGACTTCGTTAAGACTTACCGTATTGTAAGGGGGCACAGTGGAGCAGGAACCGGCAAGCCACTCCAGTATCCCTGCCAAGAAAACTCCATGGACAAAGACAACAGACAGGAGTGCCTGGCGTGCTCTGGTCCATGGGGTCATGAGGAGTCGGACACGACTAAACGACTAAACAACAACAAAAGGGGGCTCAGAGCTGCAAGCCAGCAGCAGTTTATTTTAATGGAAGCTTGTATTATTTATTAAATTTCTATACTGCCCTATAGCCGCAGGTCTCAGGGTGGTTCACAGCATAAAATGACTAGATAGAAACACAAGATACATAACAAAAATAAAAACAGGGACAATCCAATAATCCCCCCATTTACCATTTAAATTGGCATTGGATGTCAATCAGCCAAAGGCCTGGTTACAGAGGAATATTTTTGCCTGGTGCCTAAAGGTGTGTAAAGTGGCAGGCGAGCCTCCCTGGGGAGAGCATTCCACAAATGGGGAGCTACTGAAGAAAAGGCCTGTTCTTGTGTTGCCACCCTCCAGACCTCTTGTGGAGGAGGCGCATGAAGAAGGGTCTCAGAATGATCTCAGGGTCCAGGTAGGTTCATATGGAAAGAGGTGGTCTTTGAGGTATTGCTGAAAAACACTCCCCAAGCAACACCCTTGGAACAACCATCCAAGTAGGACTGGAACCATTTGCAAAGTGGTGTCACGCACCCCTAACTTGGGACAGCTGCTTCAGAAGGATAGCAATGGTCAATGGTATCAAAAGCCACTTGAGAGGTCAAGGAGAATTAACAGGGACACATTTTCCCTGTCTCTCCTGACAGGGCGACCAAAGCTGTTTCTGTGCCAAAACTGAGTCTAGGAAACTGAGGAAATATCAGTTTCCTTCAAGAGCCCCTGGATCTGGTTCATCTTGCTCAGGAAAGGGAGATTAGGGAGATTGTATGATCGAACATTTGTTCTTCAAGTGTTCTGGAATCAGGGCTTATAAGGATTTCGGTTTTCTCAGTGGCTGTTTAGCCATCAAAGCAAAACTGAGCTTGCTTTTACCAGGAAACTTACTAACACAAAACAATGGCTGCTGCCTTTATGCTGGAGAGGAGAAGCTGTGGTCCTGCAGATGTCGTTGGATGCCATCTCTTATCAGACCCACCGGCAAGACCAATTAGGGATGATGCGAGTTGTAGCCCCAGCAACAGGTACCCTGTCCCTACCCAATTCTATTTTTGTGAGCATCAGGCTGGCCGTTCTTGCTTTTTGTCTGATCCAGCAAGGTAACTTTTCCATACTTCCTAAATTAGAAACCCCATGTCACTCATAAGAATGCATTGAAAGACAGTACTTATCCCGGTTAAAAGACAACAAGAGCTAAGTAATCTGCATTAAGAAATCTTTGGGGTGTAATCTTCATTTCTTTCCTGCTTTCTTATCCCTCCCGTCCTCACTAGGACCTCTGGTCCATGAAGCTGGGAGGGATGGGCTGACCTCATTGTACATTTGCTGTTGAAGGGACTTTGGCAGTAGTGAAATCTCTGTGGGAGTTTTAGAGGCTCCCACCAATGATAGAAGGTGTGGGGGGAAGAGACAAGCACATCCTTTGTTGCAGACGATGGACTCATGAAAGACAGAGAAATACTACTAGGTAAAAGGAGCTCCGGTGGAAGAGTAAGGTGGCTTCCAAGATCCAACCTTGTCTCCTTTTGACCCTCAGTATAGAGCAAATGCTGGCGTCCAACCCTGGCAAGACCCCTATCAGCCTGCTGCAGGAGTATGGGACACGCATAGGCAAAACCCCTGTGTATGATCTACTGAAAGCCGAGGGACAAGCACATCAGCCCAACTTCACCTTTCGCGTCACTGTTGGAGACATCAGCTGCACCGGTTAGTTGTGGTAAAGAACGGGAGTGTGGATAAACCAGTAGAATTTGGGCAGGGGAGGAAGAGGAGAGGAAAAGAACTCTCATATTTGGGGGTCGGATAGAGAAGATTGCATGTCTTCTACAGTCCTTCATATTTGTCTCAGCAGCAGAAAGGGGATGGAGTTTCTCCAGTTGTACTTTTGAACTGGGCCTTCTGCCTGCTTCCAGTTAACTTTGGGTTTGCACCTACTTTGAGGGGCTCCCTATAATACAAGCTCCTCTTTAGCACCTCATTGCGGGGATTTAAACCGCCGACCTTCTGATCGGCAAGTCCTAGGCTCTGTGGTTTAACCCACAGCACCACCTGCGTCCCTAATACATGGGTAGACGAGTCTAAAAAGCCTGGGACACAAATTTTCACAGCCCTCTAGTGGCTATGGTGGCTCATTTACCAGAAGTATCGTACTGAGCGTTATCTTTGGAAGTGTATACTCAATTCTGACTCAACTAAGCCTCCTAGAGCAAAATATGCACCAGGCCTTATAGACCCGTCTACCCATGTACTATCTGAAACCAAAGGGGCACATTGGTTTCCAGATGTGGAATATATTGGCATTATCTTCAGCTCTCCTTCCCCACTATGTTTTGCTTTTCCAACTACAGTTGAGCTCAAAGCAGCCCACCATAATAACAATAGCTGTAAAAATTAACAAGCGCTAACCATAATCATAATCGTATCGAGAGCACAGTAGCATGTAAACAAAGCAAAAACAAAATCAATTCATCAATCAATCAACACAATTCAGTGTAAACACAGAGTGATTCAAAATATCTGCCCTGTGCCAGTTGACTTGCTCTCTCTGCAAAGGGGCTTCTTAACCCACCAGCGCGGCGGCAGCAGCACATTCCAAGGTAGTTTTTCTGGGTTGTAGTCTGGCCACAACTGGAGGTTACCAGGTTGGAGAAGGGTGTCCTGACTCACTACACCTAACTCACTTCTAGATTTGGGGAGTAGAATGCAGGAGATGCTAGTTTCTAGACTTCTTTTTGTAACCTGTTTGGTACCCTCTTCCTCTCAGAACTTGGGACCCTGAGCTGCTTGTTTGTTCTGTCACACTCACCAGATGTCCTCACAGGGTGGGTTTCTCACTGCTGGGCTCTTGGCAGCTTTTCTTGGAGAGTTCATTGGCCTACTGTCAGCTGACCATCAAGAGAACAGGATGCTGGACTAGTTGCTCCATTAACTTGACCCAGCAGACTCTTCTTAGAAAGTCATGCAGAGCTGTAACAAGATATAATCAAGAGGCAGATTAGGGCAAGGGTGGAGCCGCAGGCTTTGAAGGGAGCCTCCACCTAGACTTGGCTGACACTGCTTCTCAGGTGACAGTTGAGTTGCCAAGGCCTGATTGTGATGTCATACATAGCTGCAATGACAGATTCTGTATGTGGTTTGAACAGCCTTGCTAAAGCCCAGCATTTTCCCCTGATGATACTGCTACTCTTTGCCTACATACATGGCACCTGCCCCAACAAGCAATAATACCACAATTTCTACCCCTTTATTCCATGATTTTTCACAACTACTTTCACTACTATTTCACTTGTCTTTTTTATTTCGCCGTGATTTTAATATGAATTAGCCTCACACTGTTATATTACTATTATCAGCCTGAGTGGCTTAGATCCTGCAAAAGGCACTCACAGCCCCTTCTTCTCTCTAGCCTGTCATTAACATTTAACTTCAGCAGGGGTGGGAGTGAATTTGTAGGAATTAAATTTTACTCTCAGTGACTGGACGGTCATAGTTCATTTTACTTTTTTAGACGCTACTTCTAACTGTGCGTGTTTGCTTAACTTGGAAGCACGTTCCCTCATATCTTAACTGTCTGTGGAGGCATGGAAGTGCATGGGGATTTAGGAGAAAGAGTGAGCTTTCAAGCACCACCCTCTTCCCACTCTGCTTGTTGTTGCAGTTCACAGTGGCATATAGTACGGAATGCTGTTGCAAATGAGATGCAGCGCTGTGCTCTGTCCATGTGCTGCATTTCTGAAAAATACCAGCACAGTGACACTTTGCAAACAAAAGGAGCTTCAGTGCGGATTGCACCTGGATCTGGGCGGCCTGGAAGTCCCATATATGCTACCTTCCATTATGGAAGGAAGGCCGGGATATAAATAAGTTTCTCTGTTTGCCCTTCCGAGTTGCCCTTGCATCCTTGTGTCCCGACTCGCTTTCTCTCCCTTCTCCTGTCCTTAGGCCAAGGCCCTAGCAAAAAAGCAGCCAAGCACAAGGCAGCAGAGGTGGCACTCCGGCTTCTCAAGGGAGGAAACATGTTGGAGCCAGCAGCAGTGGAAGAAGCCAGGTGAGGGCTATGCACAGTCTGTACAAAAGGCTGGAATCCCCCCTTCTCCCATGCACTTATTAGAAAATGAAATCCCCAGGGAATCTTCGGTCTACAACATCCTCTCTAGTTGCTTACTGTCTATGAAAGGTAATTTGCGGGCAGTTAGGACAAAGAGGTTGTTGATAAGTAAGCCAGTAAGTGCTGGCTTAGTGTCACGTGCAAACCAGGCCAATAAGGGACAGAAACTTTAAAAGAGGAAGAAGTTGAAATCTGTGGTTTGCATTCCGTGATGCAAATCGAGCAGCACAGTCACAGGTGCACAGATTGCGCACAGTCATGGGAACAGGAGAGTTCAGCATTGAGCATTGTTGCACAGGCCTCTGTGGTTGAGGGAAGTTTGGGTGGAGGGAGCCTTGCTAGAGAACAGGAAGGGCCTGCACCCGAGTTCTGGGGGATGACACGGGAGCAGTCTCTCATTTTGGGAAGTTTCTTCCACTGCATGCGCTCCTGCTACTGAGCGTGCTTTAATTTTGTCACCTTGTATTCCGAAGCTCTCCTTTTTCTCTAGAGCCCTTGGCTCAGACCACCGCTCCAGTCAACGCGCCTGTACCCACCTTGCCGGTTTCGTCTCCCAGGTAATGGGATGGAAGCGAAAGACAAAAGCACAAGGACTGGGCTGCCCAGAGTCCTCTGGCTACTTCTCATGCACCCAAATTTCCCCATAGGCCACCAGTGCATACTGGAACAAGCTGGTGCCTGCGGCAGGTCCTTCCCTTGTGTCTGACCTTGCTCCCCCCCCCAGTGGTTTTCCCATGGGCTGCAGAGCATCAGCTTGGGTGTGGGGTGGGTACACATTCCAGCAGGTATTCTACACTCAAAATAATAATAATAATAATAATAATAATAATAATAATAATAATTTATTATTTATACCCCACCCATCTGGCTGGGTTTCCCCAGCCACTCTGGGCGGCTTCCAACAGAACACTAAAATACAATAACCTATTAAACATTAAAAGCTTCCCTAAACAGGGCTGCCTTCAGATGCCTTCTAAAAGTCAGATACAGTGGTACCTTGGGTTAAGAACTTAATTCGTTTTGGAGGTACGTTCTTAACCTGAAACCTGAAGTTTGGTAGTTATTTTTCTCTTTGACATCTGGTGGGAGGGCGTTCCACAGGGCGGGTGCCACTACCGCGAAGGCCCTCTGCCTGGTTCCCTGTAACTTGGCTTCTCGTAGCGAGGGAACCGCCAGAAGGCCCTCGGCGCTGGACCTCAGTGTCTGGGCAGAACGATGGAGGTGGAGATGCTACAGGAGGGGAAGTAAAAGATCTTGCTTGCCCCTGGAGACACAGGCTATGGGTGGCTGTGTGGTGGTTAGTAGGAAGACCCCCTTTCAGTCTACCATCAATTCCCCTCTTAACACTGATTGGAGGAGGGTCCATGCCTTGCCCTACAGTGGAGCACCAACTAGGCCTGGGTGATGTATCGATACATTGTCCAGGACTGGTTTGAGGGCCAGAGTACAATCGCACCATCACCCTACAGTATATCGTGGATGGGGCTTACCTGTGCCTTACCTTCTCAGTCTGCTGCCTCCTTCCTCCCTGTGCCGGGCGTTGGCGGTGGAGGGAGCTGTGGTGGTTTCACCCCGGCACCTCGCGGGGCTGATCTTCCTTTTCAGCACTGCAATGCTGAGGTTTAGGTGGTGATACGTTGCGATGTCGAAAAGCCGACATCGCCCAGCTCTAGCGCCAGTTGTAGGCGAGGCTCTCTTTGACGAGGCCCCTTCTCAGCTTCCCCTCCCCAGAAGGGCTCCTATGTTCCCCTACCTCTGCCTACTTTGTAGCGTGGGCGGGGTGTTCGGATTTGGGTCAGCAGAACCACCAGGGAGAATCCTTCACCTTGTGTCCTCTTTTTACCTAGAAGTTCCGCAATGGACATGAAGTCCCCAGTATCACCACAGCAGTCGGAGTGCAACCCGGTTGGCGCCCTGCAGGTAGGTCGCTCTCTTAGCTGTGACTTCCTTCAGCCCCAAGCGCTTACAGGAGGAGGGGTATTGGTGAGTAAGCTTAGTCAGAAGTTGCTAGATCCACACTTTGCCCTACAAGAGAAAGGGTACTTCCCAGCAGCACCTTGTCCTACCGATCACCTGTTTCATTCCCCACCCCGTTCTTCTAGTTGCTTGTTTGGTGGCGCTGTGGGTTAAACCACAGAGCCTAGGGCTTGCCGATCAGAAGGTCGGCAGTTCGAATCCCCGTGACGGGGTGAGCTCCCGTTGCTCGGTCTCTGCTCCTGCCAACCTAGCAGTTCGAAAGCACGTCAAAGTGCAAGTAGATAAATAGGTACTGCTCCGGCAGGAAGGTAAACAGCGTTTCCGTGCGCTGCTCTGGTTTGCCAGAAGCGGCTTAGTCATGCTGGCCACATGACCTGGAAGCTGTACGCCGGCTCCCTCAGCCAGTAAAGCGAGATGAGCGCTGCAACCCCAGAGTCGTCCGTGACTGGACCTAATGGTCAGGGGTCCCTTTACCTTTTTAAGGCTACCCTAAAGTCCTGGTTTTGGAATGCAAGCTGGCATCCCAAAGGGAAAATTTGGTGTCACCATCCAGCACTTTTTCAAAAGTCTCTTTGAGCAGCTTTTGAAGCCATATAAGTTAGGCATGCTTGGATGTGCACACAAAGCTTTTTTGCTCGTGGAATTTAGGATAGGAAGAACATGTATTTGCTGTAGCTCTGGAACAAAATTGGGCACACCCACCTCCAAGTGGATTCCAAACAGAGGTGACAAACAGGATTTTGAGCAGAAGCCTTGACGCTGTAAGCAGAATGCTGCTCCCATTTGCTGCATCATTCAGAACTACTAATAGTCTGTAGGTCTGTATCCACTCACCTTTTGGCAAACCACTCTCAGATCCCAATATGACTGTATAGCAAGGCTTCAGTACCCTGTCTTGATTTTCCTCCCAGTTACACTTTACAGCCCAAACCTACGTATGTGCTTTCTCCGGAAATAAGTACTGCCTAATTTAATTGGGCTTATACCCAAACTGCAGCTTTAGATGCTTCTACTGCAATGGTAGTGTCCTGAGCTGCCATTCCCTCTAGGAATCCAGGCACAGAAAGGAAGAGGCGAGTGCTTTTCTAAAGCTGTCTCTCTCTCTCCAGGAGCTGGTGGTGCAGAAGGGCTGGCGGCTCCCCGAATACACCGTCACTCAGGAGTCAGGGCCAGCGCACCGCAAGGAATTCACCATGACCTGCCGGGTTGAAAGGTTCATTGAAATAGGTATGGCATCCGCAGACTTGTGCCCCCATCTGCTCATGCTTTTAAACTGTTTGTGATTTGCAGTGCCCTGTGCGTGATTGGAAGTTTTCCCATAAAGGCTCCTTAGAACTTAGGAGGCAAGGGCCAATGCATCTGACAAGAGGAATGCAGGAAATCAGAGGGAAAGCATTGAGCTGCAGCCAGAGAGGACTTGGGAGACTATGATCTGGGCTGTAAGGACCAGGAGTGCACAACTGCAGTCCCCTAGGCCAAGTGTGGCAGCTCTGCAAGCACTCAAGTTAGGCTCCCCGTTTGGCAGCAAAGCTTCTGCGCCAAGGAAAGACAGAACCCCACACCATTTGCAAGAGGACAAGCTGTGTCAGTTATGTAAAAACATGCTCTTTAACAGCTGCTGTTGTGCTTTCTGCGTCAGGCAGGCTGGATGGGCTGCAAGGCAGGATCAATGCACCAGAGCTAAAAAAACAACAGTCAGGCTTGATGGGGGAAGCCTGAGGGAATCGGGAAGAGGTGTAGGCTCTTGCAGTCCCCTTGCACCCCAGGCTGCCCCCCACCCTTCTCTGCCCTCTCCTCTTTCAACATATCACAGCCCCCTTCCCGATCACCTTTTCGCCATTTCTTCTCTCTCTAGGCAGCGGCACCTCCAAAAAACTGGCCAAGCGCAACGCCGCAGCCAAGATGCTGGTGCGGATTCATAACGTGCCTCTGGACCCGCGAGAGGGCAGTGAGGCTGAAATGGAGGAAGATCAGTTCTCTATCGTGAGTCTGAGCGGTGGGGAGAGAAGCCAGAGTTGGGCAGCCGTACATGAGCTTATTATGCAGCTTGCCGATAGGGCCTGAAAGGCTTTTCAGAAACTGGGAACTTGCTCCAAAGAGGGGAGCAGCCTCTTCGGCAAATTAAGCAAGAAGTAGCGATGGCCACTAACTTGGATGGCTTTGTAAGAAAATTAGATAAATTCATGGAGGATAAGGCTCCATCAGTGGCTGCTCGATGTGATGGTCTCCACCAAATCCCTTGGAAGTCCCACCTTGGGAACCCCAAAAACATCTTGAGGGCCACAGTTCCCCCATCCCTGGGTTAGGATGAAGCTGTGGCCACGAGAGTTGCTTGAGGAGACTTGCAGAGGTTGTGGCCTCTCGCTTCTTGGTCAGCACCACCTGGGAAGGCAGGGAGGGAGCTGTGCCTTGCTGAGAATGATGGAAGGTGTGCAGCCAGAAGAGACATCCAACCTGTGTTTGATCTTTCTCTCTTCCACTCTTCAGATTGCAGGAACCAAGGTGGATGGAGTAAAGGGTCGGGGGTCTGGCTGCACCTGGGACTCTCTGCGCAACTCAGTGGGGGAGAAGATCCTGCACCTCAAAAGCCATCCCCTGGGAGTGCTGAATGCTGGGTTCTGCAGCCTCTTGCAGGAGCTGTCTGAAGAACAGAGCTTTGATATTAGCTACCTTGACATCGGTAAATAATGAGGCACAGGGGAGGGGGAGGAATTGCTTTTCTTGAGAGAACGGCCAGACCCTAACTTTTCCGAAAGGCGCCCTGCGTATGTGTGCATCCTTATTGATTTGAATGTGCGAAAATTTATATTTTCCGCTTGCAAGTTGAGCAGTCAAGTGACCCCCCAAAAAACACCCAGAAGTACCCCAACAAGTGGAAAGCTACCCACATGACCACTCACGAAACGCTCAAGAAAATAACCTGGGAGGAGCTTGGATTCTATCTCAGTAATCCACTGCAGGGCAAGCAAAGGCTTTGGTCAGGGCGCAAGCTAGACTTGGGGACAGAACTTTGGCATTCATCAGTTTACCAGGTGTGGTGAAGCCCACAGCCTATGGACCACATAAGCCCACATTGCAAGGTATTTTGTGGCTTCCAGGGACTCTCCACCCCCATTTCTTATTTTCTAAAATAACTAAAAATAAGATGTTATTGTGCCTCTGCCCTTTTGTCTTCCTCATGGTTATGTGCTGAGAACCCTGCCAAGTCCCTCTCCCCACATGAAAGGGAACTGACAGATGACTTACATTAATATCTGCTGTAGCATCATTACTTGCCCAGCACTGGGTCATGGGGGCCTGACTCCAGCCATATAAGGCCAGTTGCCCTGTGGGAATGAAAAGGGAAGTGAGCTGCGACATCCCAATTTATGCCAGCCTGTGAATCAACAGTTCCTTATGCCTCCATACACCCGCTATCCCCAGACTTGAGCATTAGGAAATGTGCACATTTTGCTTTCCTCTTGCTGTGCTGTGCTTTAATCCGCAGATGCCGAATTTGAATTAAATTGAATTCTTCCATTTGAAGAACCAACCTGTTTTAATCTTCATAGAATTGCAGAGTTGGAAGGGACCCTAAGGGTCATCTAGTCCAGCCCCCTGCAGTGCAGGAAACACGACTAAAGCATCCCTGACAGTTGGCCTTCCAAGCTCTGCTTAAAAGCCTCCAAGGAAGGAGAGTCCACAACCTCCCGAGGGAGACCGTTCCACCTTCAAATAGCTCTTACTGTCAGAATTTTTTTCCTGATGTTTAGTTGGAATCTCCTTTCTTGTACCTTGAATCCACTGGTTTGAGTCCTACCTCAAGAGCAGGAGAAAACAAGCTTGCTCCATCTTCCATGTGACAGCCCTTAAGATGTTTGAAGATGGCAGTCAGATTTCCTCTCAGTCTTTCAGGCTAAACATATCCAGCTCCTTCAACTGTTCCTCATATGGCTTGGTTTCCAGGCCCTTGGCCATCTTGGCTGCCTTCCTCTGCTCACGTTCCAGCTTATCAGTATTCTTCTTAAATCGTGGAACCCAGAATTGGACATAGTATTCCAGCTGTGTTCTGACCAAGGCAGAATACAGTAGGACTGACGTCCCTTGATCTGGACGCTATATTTCTGTAGATGTAGCCAGGAATAGCATTAGCTTTTTTTGCTGCTGCATCACACTGTTGACTCATGTTAAGCTGGTGGTCCACCAAGACCCCTAGATCCTTTTCACATGTAGAAAGTTAGTAAAGATAAAGGGACCCCTGACCATTAGGTCCAGTCGTGACCGACTCTGGGGTTGCGGTGCTCAACTCGCTTTATTGGCCGAGGGAGCCGGCATACAGCTTCCGGGTCATGTGGCCAGCATGACTAAGCCGCTTCTGGCAAAACCAGAGCAGCGCATGGAAACGCCATTTATCTTCCCGCCAGAGCGGTACCTATTTATCTACTTGCACTTGGACATGCTTTTGAACTGTTAGGTTGGCAGGAGCAGGGACCGAGCAACGGGAGCTCACCCTGTTGCGGGGATTTGAACCGCCAACCTTCTGATTGGCAAGTCCTAGGCTCTGTGGTTTAACCCACAGTGCCACCTGCGTCCCTTAAAGTTAGTATCCACCTTGAACTTTCCAGACAGAGAAGGCTGTACGCAAAGATGTTGTTTTGCTGGCCTGGATGATGCGGTACCTTTTCTCTTCCTACAGATGAGATGAGTTTAAGCGGCCTGTACCAGTGCCTGGTGGAGCTCTCAACACAGCCAACCACAGTGTGCCACGGCTCAGCCATGTCCCGCCATGCCGCGCGTGCAGATGCTGCCCGCAATGCCCTTCAGTACCTGAAGATCATGGCAGGGGGCAAGTGAGGCCACACGGAAGACTCTGGGCACCCGCGATTCCTCAAAACAGCTTGTCTCCATCTTCCAGCCTGCTAAAGGATGTACCCTTATTTTTGCCCATCGTTTATGGGCAGGGGCACCGACCTCCCTGATGTTCTGTGGAGGGTGGAGAGGGGGCTGTGCTTCAAAACTGAATTCAAGACTCGGAGAGGGGTTTGCTGTACTTGCAGCAGAGACTAGGCTCGCAGAGACTTGTAGCTCTGAGCGCTAAGTGCTGGGGGGCGGGCTGCTGGGAGGTCAGGGTAGTCCCACCTCTGTGTCACCTGATGCCAGTCACCTTGTTTTTTTCCTCGTTGTGGAGGGACAAACACTGACCATTTCTGCCATAACTGGGAGTTGCAATAAACCAGATTTTTTTTTAATAAGAAAGTGTCTTCTTTTACCTACTGAGCCCGCCCTGAGATGAGGGGGCCTGCACCCCTCCAGATCTTGCAACTCCCATGATCCTTGGTCATTGGCCATGCTAGCTGGGGCTGATGGGAGTTGGAGACCACCACCAACAGGGGAAGGGGGGTGCTACAGGTTCCCCACAGTTGCTGTCCACAGACACATCTAGAATTGTACACCTGCTGACCACTGCTGCATCAGGCCGAGGCCCTAAGGCAGAATTGAATGGTCCCATTATCCATTCCGCTCCCCCTCCTTCCTGAGTCGAAGCAGTCAAAGATGATCCAATTGTGGAGTCGCAAGGGACCCTGATGCTCATCTCATCCAACCGCCTGCAGTGCAGGGAACTGAACCTGCAAACTTGGTGTTATCAGCACTACGCTCTAACCAATGGAGCTATCCAGGCCAAAAGGCAGTTACTTCTGAATACAGGGGATGCTCCCACTGCTGGCATTATCATATGCTTTCCAGAGGCATTTGGGTGGCTGCTCTTAGAAACAAGATACTGGGTGAGATGGAGGCAAGTAATTTGCTTGAGACCAAGGCAAATGAGAGATGGCAGCCCTAATAATTTTCCCTTCCCAAAAGCATCATTCGTTTAATTTGCTGAGACACACTTCAAATTGCTCCTTCCTCTCCAATGGTAGCCAAGCGGCCCTGGAGCTGTTGGGTCGCTATAGACAGGGGTAATTTTCTCTGATTTTCCTCTCCATCCTCCTCCCTCGTGAAGAAATTTTGTGGGACTCTTGGCACACCTTGCTCTGGTGACCAGCTTCCCATGTTGTGACCCCCCCAGTGGCAGAGAGTTCCATAAGTTGATTGTGTATTATGTGGGGGAAAATAGAAGATTTACAGAACTGGTATATGGCAACGCCGCCTGAATGATGGGAGTCTTGACAATGTCAGGAGGACCACGGGCTCCACATCCCTGCTCTAGCCCGCCTACGTGACAGAAAAGATTGTAGTAGGTTCCAAGATGTAACCATTTTTATTATTAGCAAGGGGCAAAGCACAAACCCCTAAACAGGAGGGTCAGTCACCCGGGTAACCCAGGGACGACACAGAAGGACGAGCGGAAGGGGAGGCTTTTCGACCCAGTGCGGCACTAGTTCTCGGTGCAAGGACCAGGTGGTGGCAGTTCTGTGCGTTGCTGTCCTCGACTTCATTTCTTCTTGCCAAAGCGCTGTGGAACAGCCATGCTCAGAAACTGAGGAGCCACGGCGTCCCAAGCCCGTGGCTTGATTAGGCCACCGCTGCTGGAGCTGGCCCGGGCCTCACGGCCAAATCTGCAGAAATAATAATAATAATTTATTATTTATACCCTGTCCATCTGGCTGGGTTTCTCCAGCCACTCTGGGCGGCTACCAACAAAATATTAAAATACAGTGGTCTGTTAAACATTAAAAGCTTCCCTAAACAGGACTGCCTTCAGATGTCTTCTAAAAGTCTGGTAGTTCTCTTTGACATCTGGTGGGAGGGCTTTCCACAGGGCGGGTGCCACTACCAAGAAGGCCCTCTGCCTGGTTCCCTGTAACTTGGCTTCTCGCAGCGAGGGAACCACCAGAAGGCCCTCGGCGCTGGACCTCAGTGTCCGGGCAGAACGATGGGGGTGGAGACAGAGATGGAAAGCAGCACAAAGCAGGTTGCCTGGGGAACATTTTTGGCACTCAAAAACACAGCACTTGTAGCTCCCTGGCCTCTTTGTCCTGCAGGTCATCACTTCTGTCAGACGGATGGTGAAAAGGAAGCAAAGCTGTGCAGCTAGGTGTCTTGGAATAGTGCTTTGCTTTCCCCCGCCGTCCCTGTCCCCAGGAGAACAGAATTGCATCATCCAGAACTACTGAAACGAACCAGAGTCCCCTTATTGTTGCTGCAGGAATTGATGGGTGGGGATTTGAACACAAGACAAGGGAACGATTGAAAAACGGTTCAGTTTTTAGGGGCATTGCAAGCACAGCTTTTGCAATGGGTGATCCGAGCAGCTGCAGAAAAAAGGTCGTAGGGATGAAGGGTCTAAGAAAGACCCGTGAAACTGACAGGTGGGAATGGTCATTTAGATAGCAAGGATGCTGTGTTTGTCTTTTAAAAATTTACTCTTAAATGGGGGAGCCTATGCCTGATCTGGGGACGCGGGTGGCTCTGTGGGTTAAACCACAGAGCCTAGGACTTACCGATCAGAAGGTCGGCAGTTCGAATCCCCGTGATGGGGTGAGCTCCCGTTGCTCGGTCCCTGCTCCTGCCAACCTAGCAGTTTGAAAGCACGTCAAAGTGCAAGTAGATAAATTGGTACTGCTCTGGTGGGAAGGTAAACGGCGTTTCCGTGCACTGCTCTGGTTTGCCAGAAGCGGCTTAGTCATGCTGGCCACATGACCTGGAAGCTGTATGCCGGCTCCCTCGGCCAATAAAGCGAGATGAGCACCACAACTCCCGAGTCGGTCACGACTGGACCTAATGGTCAGGGGTCCCTTTACCTTCACCTTTTTATGCCTGATCTGTGGGAATTGTGAGGCCTTGGAGAATCTAGAACGCCTTCAAATACTATTCGGATGGAAAATACTCAAACCATTGTCAGGAGATGACTTGAGGAGTTTGGATTTGATATCCCGCTTTATCACTACCCGAAGGAGTCTCAAAGCGGCTAACATTCTCCTTTCCCTTCCTCCCCCACAACAAACACTCTGTGAGGTGAGTGGGGCTGAGAGACTTCAGAGAAGTGTGACTGGCCCAAGGTCACCCAGCAGCTGCACGTGGAGGAGCGGAGACGCGAACCCGGTTCCCCAGATTACGAGTTTACCACTCTTAACCACTACACCACACTGGCTCTGGGTCTCCCATCCCAGTCCATGGCCAAAATGAAACAACAGATGTAATTCCAAGAACTGGAAAATTAGCACAAATGGAGCTTTAAAAAGGAAGGGGGAAATTAAATGAACCGCCCCCTCCATTCACTTGTGCTCCCCCTAGTGTAGCCAGAATACGTGCTTCTGCCTGGCTGCATCGACCCCCACACTCCTTACCTTTGGGGCTGGAACAGGAAGGAGGGGCTGCGACCAGGTCTCTGCACAGCATGAAGGAGGGAGCGGAGAAGGACGCCCAGGGGATGCTCCTCAGGGGGAATCTGGACAGGATGGTCCTCATTTTCTTGCAGCTGGGTGGACAAATAAAAAGTCGGGGTCATTTGAGAAATTCAACAAGAGACGAGTTCCCTGCAAGACCAGGAAGTAGCTTGAGGACCAGGGAAAACAGCAAAGGCATCGCATTATTCATAGAATCAAAGAATCACAGAATTGTAGAGGTGGAAGGGTCCATGGGGGTCATTTAGTCCAGGGTCGGATTTAGGTTTGATGAGACCCTTAAGCTACTGGAGGTAATGGGGCCCTTTATATGTCCAGCTGTCGTTTGTCAACAACGAATTGTCGCTGTTTTTTTGTGTTGAATATATACTATATGGTAACTTATGGACCTAACAGGTATCTAAAGCCATTTGCACATAGCAAAATATGTATTTTATCAAAGTAATTGTTGAACTGAAATACAATTAAATTTTCTGGGGGCCCCCAAGAGAGTGGGGCCCTAAGCTATAGCTTGTTTAGCTTATACGTAAATCCAGCACTGATTTAGTGCAACTCCCTGCAATGTGGAAACCCTTTTCTTCAATGTGGGATTTGAACCCACAACCTTGAGATTACGAGTCTCATGCTGTACAGACTGAGCTGGCTGGCTCCTCACAGTTGCGTAATGATGGTAAATATTGAACAGCAGTCAGCTCTATCCACCCAACATAATGTCAAGCCAATTATATTTCTTGCAATTTCACACACACACACACACACACACACACACACACACACACACACACACACACACACACACACACACAACACACACTTTGTACACCAAAATCAGCTGAATTTCTGGGGATTGCCTTACACAAATTGTGAATATTGGCAAAATCCAACAGAGTCTTGTGACACCTTTATTATGACATAAGCTCCATTTGGTGGAATGGTCTCTAGTCCACTAAAGCTTATGCCATTTGTCTGGGTTGTCTCCAACAAGTTTCACTTAGAGTAGACGCACTGGAATAAATGGACCCAAGTTAGTCACGTTTATTAATTTCAGTACATCGACTCTGAATAGCACTGGATACAACTCTTTATGTTTAAAGGTGCCAGGAAGACGCATTGTTGGTTTCGCTTCAACACAGGCTTAACATGCTCTGAAAATTGTGTGAATATCTGTGCATATTTGCTTCTTACACATAATTTCATTTTCTCTGCATGGGGAGAGTAAGCAGCTATGCAGGGTACCTGTGGACCACCAGGAACTCTGACTGATCACCTTATGCTTTTGGCTTTCTGGGATTCACACTCACACTTCCGTGTTTAGAAACTTGCTTTTAAAAAGGAAAGGAAAGGAAAGGAAAGGAAAGGGAGATTCTAGGATTCTTGTGCCTTGCGTATGCTAGAGCTATGTTGTTGTCACAGGGTATATACCCAGCCCTAAATAAAACCCAGGAGGAGCTCGGGTTAACATCTTAATAATGCAAAGCACTTTGCATACCTTCACAGGCATCTTTTACAACAGCACTGCATGGTAGGCACGCACTATTATGCCCATTTTGCAGCTAGAAAGGACTAGATAGTATGGCTTGCTCAAGGCCACCTAGTGAGTTTGTGGCTGAGGAGGAGTTGATCCCAAGCTCCACCAGTCTTAGAGCCCCACAGATTGCAATGATGCCACCCTCTCCTGGGGGGGTGCAACTGCCTGGATCTCAGCAAGCATCTGGGAAAGAAAGAAAGAAAGAAAGAAAGAAAGAAAGAAAGAAAGGAAGAGGAAGGAAGGAAGGAAGGAAGGAAGGAAGGAAGGAAGGAAGGAGGAAAAGGTCCTCATTTGCCAATCCCACTCTGGGCTTATGTTATACTGACTTTCTGGAGGCAGCAATGGCTTCCGGCTTGGCCAAACTTTTCTCCCTCTCTTAATTGGGTAGAGGACCCAAAACACCTCCACAAGTTCCTGTGGCATAATGGTTAGCGTGCTGGACTAGGACAGGGTAGGTAAAGGGACCCCTGACCATTAGGTCCAGTCGTGACCAACTCTGGGGTTACTGTGCTCATCTCGCTTTATTGACCGAGGGAGCCGGCGTACACCTTCCGAGTCATGTGGCCAGAGCAGCGCACGGAAACGCCGTTTACCTTCCCGCCGGAGCGGTACCTATTTATCTACTTGCACTTTGACGTGCTTTTGAACTGCTAGGTTGGCAGGAGCAGGGACAGAGCAACGGGAGCTCACCCCGTCGCGGGGATTCGAACCGCTGACCTGCTGATCGGCAAGCCCTAGGCTCTGTGGTTTAACCCACAGCACCACCTGCATCCCCATAGGGTAGAGTCAGGTTCAAATCCTCACTCAAGCCACACAATGAGCGGATTGGGGATTTTAAACCCAGGCTTGTTCACTGTGGGACTCTGGGTCTGTTATGCTCTCTCAGCCCAGCTGACCTCACAGGGCTGTGGGAGGAGGATAAAAAAGTGTGTGTGTGTGTGTGTTTGTGTGGTGTCTGTGAACATGCCCACCACCCTGCAATAACTGACTAAGCAGCATCGAAGTTCGCTTGGCACCCTCCCCTGCCCTCTAGGCCGCCGTCTCGTCGAAGGCCACTCACCATCCAGCTGAAGAGTCTCTCAGGGTAGCCGTCAGGCTCCTCTGCCTCTTGGGAGCTGATCCCCTCCTCAAGGCTTCGGCTTGGCTTGAGGCTGCCTGAGAGCAATGCCAGGGCGAGCAGAAGGCGGGCAGCTTCCATGTTGCCAGGTCTGCTCTCTCTCAAAGCGCTTCCCTTTTTGCTTTGGCGCTGCCTTTATATATCTGTCTCCAGCGCGGGTGATGGTGGTGGGGCAGAAGCAGCACAGGGTGGGATTGATGGCAGCGACGGCGACCCATTTGTAAGGCGATGTTTGCAAGGGGGGCCCGCCGGCACCTCCCCGTGACAAGCGGAGAGGGACCGCCACAGCCCCCCCGACAGAGCCTCCGCCACCGCTGGCTGGGGCTGATTTGTGCGTAATTGCGAGGATAAATCCAGCCCAAAACGGCTCTCTTAAGTCCTGTTGGGGATTTGGTAGCTAATTGCTTGTACGTCGCCGTTTGTACGCCACCGGGGGGGACGAAGGCCCAGGTTCTTCGCCGGACACTGACCGCTTCCCTCACACTCCCCAAGGTCTCCCACCGCCAGCTTGATGGGCCCACGAACGCCAGAGGCGACTCGGGACCAGACATTTGTCACGTCGCCGCTTGCACAGGCGGCTCTGCAAAGCCCCGGTCCCCGGGGCGTTCACGTCGACGAAGCCGAGCTTTTTACAGCTTAATGAAACCCATTTACCAAGAAACGGGAAAACAGGCAAGCGACGGGACAAGGATGGGGGGGAGCTACTGAGGTCGGGGGAGGTTGAAGTGCAGGCCCAGGCCCCAAACGACGCAGCCCTAGACCTTCAGGTGTGGGGCGTGTGGGGGTCTCATCCATTTTAAGTTGGTGCGGATATTTTCTTTCCAGATTTGCCACACAGACGGCTACTACACCAGTCTTTTTTGGGGGGAGGGGCAAGCTGCATAACTTGGGACAGGCAGAAATCGAGAGACCTGGCACTGGAAGAAACTCCACCGGTTGAATTTCTGCCTAACAGACAGCTGGTTAGCAGACACTGTGCCTGCTTCTAATAAAGGTGGCCGGAACAGGCAAGACTTTGGATAAAAGAAAACAGATGAGAGAGAGAGCCTCTCCTGTTCACTCGCTCCTTGATCCGTGTACTGCCGCATCGGCCAGCCAGGCTTCCCCCAGCACAGGCTGGCAGGCAGCACAGCATGGCCCCGCTTGGCTCCAGTGGGGGGCGGCTCCAGCAGCATCAGCGACTTGCCCGCCCCGGGCACTAGCAACCCATGCTACGCTTCTGTCAGAAGGAACAGCCGCTATGAAACAGAACCTGGGTGAAGGGAGATAGCTGGGAAGGGGGAGACTCAAAACACAGTGCAAAGAAATCTAGTAGCAGCAGCAGGTCACCTGAAAAGGGGTCAAAGGGTTTAAAGTCCTCCCGTTGCTGGGTCTGAGAAGCAGATTGGGTGAACTAAATGGCCCCCGAGTTTCACAACGCCCCTAAAACAAAGCCAGAGCCGGCAATTGTGGAATAGCAACTCAACACACTTTGGCACTGCTCATTTCGTTCCAATGCATCTTGAACTAATCCAGCGAGTGACACCTCTTCCCCTTGCCAAGCTTTTCCATCTACGAGAAGAGGAAAAGCTGGGGAGAAGATGGAGTCCTGACAAATGTTTTTGCGAGGTGTCCCCCCTCCTTCCTGCACCGCCCTCCAGCAACACGAGAAAGCGAGACATCAGCATAACTGTATATTAATCTCCACGCCATGTTTTGCTGGAGGCCTACAAGGAACCATCTGACCAGCCCCTGACTGATGGTCCCAATAACAGTCAACTCCTCGGAGCAGGGACAGGTTCATATTCATCAGCGGAGTTGTGTGTGACCCATTCATCACGCACAGCAGTACATTTTCTTCGAGGGGGTGGCGGGAAGAAGAAGATCAGCTTGCATCCGAGGAAGACTGGACTTCTCTTTCCCCAAGCAAGCCCTGTTCCCAATATAAATAAGAGGCAATGTTCCTGTATGGTGTTCCCTTGCAACATGGGTGTAGCCAGGATTTATGTTGGAAGGGGGGCAGCAGGACACCCACCAGTCATCGTCCTCTGTCTGGCAGATTCGGAATGAAATGTCTCAAAACAGTTGTTTTAAATTACTTTCTTCTGATCCCAAGTGCTCAGAAAAATCAGCCAAAATCTTCAGCCACTTGAAAACTATGAGAAGTTTCCAGAACTGCAACATGATTGGTCAGTTTGTGGATTCCACATCTATCACTCAATTGGGTTGCCAGTTGTGGCACTAGAATGCGCCACAACATCACGCAAGCATTTCAGTTTCATATACAATGGTACCTGGGTTTTCGAACGTAATCCATTCCAGAAGACCTTTCGAGTTCTAAACGTTTGAAAACTGAGGCGCAAAGGTTGGTCTGCAAATTCAACAGAGAAAATGGGGGGTGGGGGTGTGACTCAGTGGAAGCCGTTTGACTTCCGAGGCGTGTTCGAAAATGGAAGAATTTACTTCCGGGTTTTCGGCATTTGAAAACCGAAACCTTCGACTTCTGAGACATTCGAAAACCGAGGCACCACTGTATTCTGATTATCTCTACTTTTAGTTAAGTGTTTTTATTTATTTACTTGGTTTGGGTGGGCAGCTGCCCCCCCACCATGCCCATGCCTTGCACTAAAAATCACCTGTAGATGAAGACCAGGAAACAGGCAAGCTGCAAGAACTAGGAAAATATCACCAAAGATTGGCATAATTTTTAGGATGGAGGTCTTGTTTATATTTTGGTGTTGACCTATTACAGCAGCTGTGGGGAACTTCTGGCCTCGCCATGGGGCCCATGAGGCAGCTTTGGCCACATTGCACAGACCTGCCCTATAATATCATAGGTGATGCCAAGTTTGTTGCTGCCCTGGGGAAGAAGCCATCAGAGGAGGCATGTTCCATGGGCAAAGGAATCAAAAAAGGCCACCAATTTGGTCAGCTGTATGTCAGGACACGGGTGGCACTGTGGGTTAAACCACAGAGCCTAGGACTTGCCGATCAGAAGGTTGCGGTTCGAATCCCCATGACGGGGTGAGCTCCCGTTGTTCTGTCCCTGCTTCTGCCAACCTAGCAGTTCGAAAGCATGTCCAAGTGCCTTGTCAGGCTTTATTCGCTTCCTAGAAGCTAGAGCAGGCATAGGCAAACTCGGCCCTCCAGATGTTTTGGGACTACAACTCCCATCATCCCTAGGTAACAGGACCAGTGGTCAGGGATGATGGGAGTTGTAGTCCCAAAACATCTGGAGGGCTGAGTTTGCCTATGTCTGAGCTGGAGTTTAGGAAAGGAGGAAGGAAGAGGTTGGGGAAAAGGGTGAAGTGGATCATAGGGTGTGTTTGGGCAAAGCAGGGGTTTACATAACAGGAGGGAGGGGGAGGCATTGAAATAGAGGCGGTCTGTGTGCAAGGAGGAATTGAAAGGAGGAGGGAGGGAAAAGTGGGTGAAGGTGAAAATAGGGGGTTTAAAGGGCGTTACAAAAAAGGAACGTAAGAGGCTTGGAAACAGGCGCATTCTTGCAGAAGGAGCTGATGTAATGGAAACGCAAAGAAGATGAATTGATTCAAATAACATTTTCTAAAAAGGATATAGGTTGTATGTTTCAGCTCTTCAGATTATCGATACATCCCAAGTCTGTGGGATGGGTGAGCCAAATGTTGGAGATTGACCTGGGAGATAATTTGAAATCACTTATGGCCCAGTTGGTAAAGTTCATTGTTATTTCTCAGCTACAAATACCGTCTAGAAATGGTATTCTGACAGTAAGAGCTGTTGACAGGGGAATGGTCTACTTGGAAGGTAGTGGTCTCTCCTTCCTTGAAGATTCGTAAGCAGAGGTTGGATGGCCATCTGCCATAGATGCTTTAGCTGAGATTCCTGCTTTGCAGGGGGGCTGGACTAGATGACCCCTGGGGTCCCCTCCAACTCTATAATTCTATGATTTTATGAAATGGGGGTGGAGATGAAAATGGGTGTAGAGTGGGGCCGCAGAATAGAAAAGGGCTGCTTTCAAAAACAGGATTGTGAATGTAAAAACAGGTTTTGTAAATGCATGCAGTGAGAAAGGGACGCTCGTCTAGGTCAGGGGTCAGCAAACTTTTTCAGCAGGGGGCCACTCCACTGTCCCTCAGACCCTATGGGGGGGCGGACTGTATTTTTTTGGGGGGGGATGAACGAGTTCCTATGCCCCACAAATAACTCAGAGATACATTTTAAATAAAAGGACACATTCTACTCATGTAAAAACACACTGATTCCCAGACCGTCCGCAGGCCGGATTTAGAAGGCGATTGGGCTGGATTCGGCCCCCAGATCTTAGTTTGCTTACCCATGGTCTAGGTGGTTAAATTTGGGGGGTGGGTGGCTGATGAATGGAGCAAGTGGGAAGGGAGAGCCCCCCGGTAAATAATATAATTTTTAAAAAGAAACCCGTGTATTTAATTAACCCACTCTTATGCATTTAGTTCCCTCATATTTTTGGACATAATCATATTTATTTAGGTGAACAAATAGTGCCCCCACCCCTGCAAAGGGGCTGTGCACAGGGACCCCGTGTAATATACATCTGGAGGGCAAGTAACAATACTGGGCTATGGGGTGCAGTTTGCAGGTTACTTCGTTCCTGCACTCAGTGAAATGAATGGAGGCGGACTGTCTTTAGAAGATCTCCATTTGGACTTCTCCATTGCTGCGACTTCTGGTGGAGCAATGCTGCCATCGTGTGGTTGATAGCAGGAAATGCGGGCTAAGATATGCGACTAAACAGGGAGGCTTATTATATTAGCGAGGTTTGGAAAGGCTGAAACTGCTTTCCATAAAAGAAAGGCGAACACGCTGCAGTTCGACGACACCACCGCGGGGGGGATCGCACACTGGCAACCAGAACTCGAGATGCTGCCGTGAATCTAGGGCAGCCCTCCCCCCCCCCCCCCAAAATCTAGGGCACACACATACCCAACAAGCCCACGCAGATCCCTGATAGTGGAGCTAAGAACCAATTAAATAGCATTTAAGCTTATTCGCCCTCTTCCTTTTAACTCACAGGGGATCAATCTGCTGGTTAAAATAGGCGCTGGGATCCTGCATCCCTCAGCATATTGTTGGACCAGAACATG